GGCTTACAACATTCCAAGAACAATACAGTAGTGGAGAAACTGTGGAAAGAAATTAGATGAACTTGATTTTTAAACACACAGTGCAAAGATATTTAATGTTGTACTTTATCGACTTCATAGTTTTGTAAATATACACTCACTCTGCAATGTCAGTGTGGCAAAGGCCAATAGCATGATACCAATTAACAAACATATACAGTGAGCAGCCCCATCTAACAGCAGTACAGCAGCAGCGTATTAGTGTTTGGTTGCTGTTCATCATCCTTATCATGTTGGATGCCACTTCAAACATTGATTCAGCAGCTCTAACACGCCTTTAGCAGATAAAACAACACCCTGCTGAACAGTATAATGATCTCAGCTCTGCAGAACGCTGGCCCTTTTTAAAAGCAAACATCTATATTTCTGAAATGGCAGGTGTTGACCTTGGATGAATTCATCCCACCAAAACAACGAGTAAATTCTGTCCGTTAACATCTCAGTAGATCATATTATGGGTTTATATTGGGCTTGAAATGCACCTATTGTGTCTCCATGGAAATGACATATCACCGAATTAAATCCATACTGTTCATCAGTTTACAGTTGTTCAGTTTTATTACCGTGCCCTTGGAACATATATCCTGATGGAAACGTATCCACTTATTTTATAGCTATGTGGGTTCTGTTAATGTTATGCTGGGTATAGGTCTATTACAGACTACTAAGTACTAAACTTTTAACATTTAAATAATATTTCAATGTATTATGGTACATTACATAGTACAACATGTGTTAAGTGTAAATAGTATATGTATTATAAGTATACTTAGGAAAGTATACTTATAAGTATACTTATACTTAGTTCATCTGTAACTCACCTCTAAAACCAAAAAGAATGATAATTTATTTGTTTGTTTTCAGTGTTGAAGGGTCAAAATGAAAAAAAAAGAACAAACATCTGCTGTAAACAGAATATTTGGGTGGTGCGGACCGGAAGAGGAGCGGGGAGTGGAGCATTGTGATTTCGCCCAGAGTGCAGTACGGCTTTTTAGAAAGTTTCTCAAAAATTTGCCAGTCCTTTCTTCCACACTGACTACCTTTGCTTGACATCCATGATGTGGCAGCATAGGGATGTAATACACTACAGAATACTGCATAGCACAACAAATAACATATTAAACTCTAGTTTAATGCCAGAATGCCCCTTTAACTTGAGTCCTCATAATCTACCACTGCACCAATTAGTACTAGTGTTAGCATTAGCTCATTAGCTTATAAAAGGTAACTTCCAGAAGACCAAAAGATTCCCCTCAGCTACTTTTAAATATTGAGACAAGTTTTCAAGTGTACACCTCTGTTTGCACAACTGAATTTTTTAGCACAGTTCAGCAGTTTAATCTGTTTGTAGGCTATTATTAGATGAAAAGCTGTTTTTTTCTTCTAAAGCGTTAACCAAATATCCATATCAAAATTAGTTAGATTGCACATCCTTATGACTGACCTGTCTAAAATTTTGGTCACATGTTGTTTACATTCTTCTGGCCCAATAAATAAAGATCAGTTACAAGATCAGTGCAAATTTAACATGTTAACTGAGAAGTTGCTGTTTCCACCAGTGATAGCAAAATCATGTTGTAATTTTATCTGCATTATTTGTGACTCTTAGCTCACTGAACTTTAAACTGCACTTTAATTTAAGACTCATATTTGCACAATGTAAAGGTTACAGGTATAACTGTGTGTATGTGTGCGTGTGTATGAGTGAGTGATGGTAGGAATGCATGTTTTATTTTATTTTATTTTATTTTATTCACTACATGTAAATGTTTGTCTGATACTGTACACTGTGACAAAAACCAAATTCCTTGTATGTGTAAACATACCTGGCCAATAAAGCTTGATTCTGATTCTGATTCTGAAACAAGAGGAGAAATTGTTTGGAAAGTGCAGATTCTAAACTTCTAGTCCACAAGATATTTTTAATATGATCTGAATTTGATGAGTTTCTGTTATGTGTACAGTCTTGTTTTGCAGAAGGAAACAACATCCTTTCCATTTTTGCTGATTTATTGTTTATTAACCAAAAACAAAACAAAACTGGACGATAATGTAAATTTAGACAAATGATTATCAAAGGCAGAATTATTCCGGTAAGTGATATTACTGTGATCAAAATGCAGTTATGATATACCACATGTGGGCATTATAATGTATAATGATTACTGTTCTTCTGGACAAGCTACTTTACTCCCTACGACAGAGCAGATTTCATTTGCTTGTACTCCAGTTCCTTTTTCCAGACTGAAAATTTATGTTACAATCTTTCCAGGTGGCATTTAAAGTATGTATGCATGGTTATTTACAAACCTAATGCCAAAAAAGCTGGTACTGCATGTGAAATGCAAACAAAAACAGAAAGCAATGAATTGTAAATCCACTTTGTGTATGTATTTAAATGAAAACAGTACAAAGACAACATATTTAAAGTTCTATCTTATAAACTTCAGCTTTTTTTGTAATTATATCCTGAGATTATTGCTTCTATTATGCAACCTGACATCCAGTAAACAAGCGTGTCTCCCCTGATGAAAGCTTGAGCTGGGTGATTTCTCTGTAATGCAGCCTAATCCACAGTTAATGATATACCTTATCTGCTAATCCGGTTTGATAAACAGTGTCTCTTCCTCTAATTCCTCTCCTCTCTGTCTCCTGAAGGAATATTCCATAATCCACATGCTCATCAGACACAGCAGGACACTTCACTTCTGCCTGATGTCATGTGACCATGCAATGCTTTAATAATAAACTACAGTGGAGAGGACTTCTGTCTGAGACAGATTGATAAGTGAGCTTAATCAGAGGGTGTTTAGTGTTGAGAACAGATGTTATCGGGTTTGCGTGTGGAGTCACTTCACTGTCCTGGATGAACCTGGATGAAGCATCTGATTCATTTAAAAATCCGTCAACTGACTATTTAGGCCAGGCCTGTGCTATATAACGATTTAATTGTCCCTATTAAGTATTAAGTCCCTAGTACTCTTTTCCACTGTAGAGCCAAATGGTTCTCAGGGCCGTACTGTACTGTCCCACGCTGGTGTGGACTAATGAGACATAAGGTTTCTTTTTCCATCTGCTTTGCTGCTAAATCAGAACCAGGAATTACTAAGGAAAACTACGCGAAGAGTGGCTACTACTAACGGTCTAATGCCGACACCTACCCACCAAAAAAATTTATTTGATTCTGACCGTCTCTCCAACGACAGTCTCTTGAAGTATTCTCAGATTCTTTATCCTCTAAACAGGTGCTATTTGAGCATCAGTTAATGAAACCAAGCTTGTAATGTGGTGAGTTGCCACTGTAGCTGGCTAAATATGATAGCATTAGCGTAGCCCAACAGGGTACAGCTGAAAACCACACCACAGAACAATTCTATTTTTTATTTTTTTGAGTGTTTTTTAAGCATCAGTGCATTAGAATTGAACCTGTATTGTGGTCGGAAACACCAGAAGATCGTCTATACTTTTAATGACATAACACCAGTTAGTCAAATCGAACCTGTACTGGGGTGTTTGGATCTCATTAGCTAAGCTAAGTTAGCTAGGAGAGATGAGCTGGCTAGCATTAGCTTAGCTAGGAGGATACAGGTTTAATTTTGTCTTTCTGTCTCTCTAAAACCGTCCACCAGACTTTACTTCCTCAAATTTGTTAGTCAGAATCGAACCTGTTCTGTGGTTAGCAGAGCTGGCAGCATGCTAGCTTAGCTAATACTAACCAGCAACTCTCTCCAGGTTAGCAGCACTTTTTAACATGTAGAAATTGGTTTTAGATGGAAGCTTTGACATTTATTGAATGTTGAATTAAAATTGTGCACTGCTTTCATTTATTTTGTGTCATTATAAGTGAACTGAACTTATCTGATTGTTTTCGGATTTGAAATAACTTAATCCAGGATGGATGGCACAATATCGACATAAATGTAGAGCCCAACAGCAAATAGCTACATTGTCACGTCATCTCGCTGAACGGTTCTGTGGCCCTGAACTCAATTAGCTAACTGTGGTGAGGAAACCACACTGAGCCCAGTTTTAAGCATTATGTTGAACCATGTCCATTGTTAGGACCAGGAGAAAGCAGTGGGTCTTTCATTATTTGGATTTGGAACTATTTTTAGAACTTTGATGCTAACTTACAATTGTAATTCAATTAGGAAATATGAAAACGAAGCCACACAGCTAGATATTTTCCAATATTCGGGATACATATTTCTCAAAAGTCAGTGGATATAGTTTTGTGCAAATGTTTTAGGCAACTGGGAACGTTAGACTTAAAAAGATGTTTATCTGGGCAGTAAGTGTTTATTAGCTCAGAATAACATATATTTAGAATTAGAATAAATACAGATAAAATTAATTCACTGAATGTTTTTATGTATATTAATGTGCTTGTTTAACCATTTTAAAACCTCTTCTTGAGGAAGCCCAGCATTACTGGCAGTCCAATACACTTTACTGTCACTCTCATATCAGAAACCAATAACTTCATTTTTTTTTACATTATTTTATTAGTTTATGTAAACATTTAATGCAGAATGGACCAAAAGAAATGCTCCAAAATGACTTGGAATAAAACCAGATTACCTTAAATTACATTAAAATGTTTTTTCTTTCTTCTGTAAACTTATAAGTGTGACAATATATAAAGAATGTACTGGTGCTTTTGATCTTATATGCTGTGTATGTTATATGATGTTATATGCAGAAAACATATACACACACAACTTTATTCACTGAAAAAACATGAGTATTGAACTTATTTACATGTGAACATTATTGCCACATAAATAGGGCTGTGTTACATCAATGCTACCATTAATTTAAGTTTAATGCATTATTTTTTTAGTGTAATCCTACATTAACTGGTGCCATTATGTTGTAGAATTGTTTTAGCTTGGCTTCATGTCATATTGGTGAGGGGTTTACGATTGCATCAGAGGAAATTAGCTCCAACTAAGAGTGGCTGTAATAGGATCTGAGGCGGTATATAACCTCCCCATACAGACAGAGTGAACAGCACACAACTGACCACTGCTCAGCATCTGGACCACAAACAGGTATGAAATTCTGTTCTATTGAGGACTTTCACTTACAGCAGCTGTTTTATTGGTCAGGGATTTATAACTACTGGGGAAAAAGCAATATTTGTTGTGGTGCTTTTGACACTGAGCAGTTTAAGGAACTTCATGTTCTTCTGGAACTCACTTCTGCACACTTTTGTGTGGAGCAGCTTTGTAGGTTCACCCTGGATAGATAACAAAGGGAAATTCAATTACAGAACAAAGATTCTTTCATGGGTTCTTTAATAATCGCAGTGGAACAATGATAACTCAGAACCGTTTGAATGTGGAAAATGATTCTTTTTACGTGTACTGTTCTAACAATGCTAACTGGTTATTAAATTCTCTGTTGCATTTACTATTAGTGTTGTTATTATTATGTATATTAATAACGGCCATCCTATGTGATATTTTGAATGTCTTTTTAAAAATGGTTCCATGAAAAAGGATTATAGAACCTGGATACTAATAAAGAGTATAAATGAGTATAAAAGCATGGACAGTTTCAAATTATAGGCCTTTAAAATACAACAATAAGTAAACATGTAAATATGAATATGTTGTCATTGTCCAAAAACAACATGTATATCCATTTTTTTTTATTTTTCTACGTTATTTGAACAGAGCACTCTTCCATTGTGTGAAAATTTCATGATAAAGGAACCAATAGAAATGCTCCAAAATAACCTGCAATAAAATCTCTTTACATTTACATTAGAAATAAAAAACATAATTATTTTACAGATAACAATTCACTTTGTAAATAAGCCTCTCAGTGCTTTCTTTATGTCTGCTTAGGGCTTGTTTTCTCCTACAGTGTATCTGAATTAAGTTTAATATAAGCAACACTTTGTCTCACATTGATTTGTTAATTAAATTTAAGTAATATTACTAGATGAAACTCCTGCTACATAACTGTGTACACGTCGGATGACTAATTAGTAAGGTTTGGTTATTGGCTGTAAAACATGCCAGATGGACTATATACTGGGTGCAATGTACACTCTGTAGTCTCATAACTTTTGTTTGCTCATTGCTAGACAGCCAGGTGGTGAAAATAAAAGCACTTCCTGACTCATCTGTCTGTTCAGCAGGCTTCATATACACAATGAGCTGCTATATGGGGCAGTCTGGCCAAAATAACATGAGATGACTAGCAAGAAGTATAATTAAAAAGACCTTTTATTGAGACCTTTTATTGAGTTTTTGGTCCAAGTGATATCTACTGTTTATGATGTTCTCTAATGAACTGAGAACTGATAGCAGGTTTAGCATGCTTTATTAGTGTTCGGTGTTACTTAAGCTTTTGCTAATTGGTGCTGTTTGTTTGCATTAGCCACAATAAAAGACAGATATTACGTATGTTAGTTTTACCTGTGTGTAAACTGTACATTGTGTGCAGGCTGATTGGGCCTCTGGGAATACAGCTTAGCCACTTACAACAGCATATTTACATTATATTGATATAATGCAGATCATCTGTGATAAATAAATAAACATATTACTTACAATAAACAGGAGATGGATAAAGAGAAACTTTCCTAGAATTTGGTAAAATATTCTATATATTCAAACGGCCAGGATGCACGACAATATCGATGGCAAAATAATTATTAGTAACGTACAGTTTTTTAGATTTTGCTAATATTTATTTTAATGATGTATTTTTGGAATTCCAGGAGAATAGAATGTTCAGGGGATTTTTGCATGTCCACAAGTGTTAATGAATGGATATCTGGCTAACCGTACTGAACAGTACTTTGTCTAAAATTAATGTATTGCTGGAACTGGGTTTACTTTTTAGGTGATAGCTCTGGTGCTAAGAAGCCAAAAAATTCAGTAGCACAAAAATTTAGCAGGAAGCACAGGAATACATTTAAAAAAAATATTTAACTTTTTTTTTCTTAAAGTCGAAGAAATCTATTTGTTTTTTTCAATGAGTAATGGAGGCTGAGCTAAAGCTACAGCAACCCACTACAATTTGGATGCCTATGAGGACTCACCATCTTACGAGTCACAAGGTCTTTTTGTGGACGATGTACCAACATGTTAGTGTGTCAGAGAAATACATTTTCACGTCTTCTGGACCTAGATAACATCCGCTAGAGTAGTTAGTCTAGTTAGCTACTACTTGGGAACCCGGTCACATTCAGGAACTGGTGTTTCAGAGTGGCAAAGTGTAATTTACATACGTACTTACTCACAAATATGAGCATTGTGACGGCACAATGATTACTCAAGTATCCATGCATATCCCTAATTTGAAACCCTACAGAATTACATTATGCTAATTCATACAGAATACAGTACCAATTTCTCCATTTTAGCAATATTTATATTTTGCCATCAGCCCACGGTTCCCTTATCAGTGTATCTCTAACAGGTGTGTGAAGTTAACCCTTATACCACATGGACTTACACATCCTAAGTCTTATTACTAAGTAACTATATGGAAAACAGTACATTGAAAGGGTTAAAATCAGGGGTTTCACTAGAGATTTATGGATTTATGGATGCCTGTTTGTCATGAATTTTTAGAGTAGTGATAGGTATAAAATTGATAAAAAATGTCAGTAAGTCAGTGAGTCAAAATGTTTACACATAGTAAATCTGTTTGTTTATATTCGGTTTGTATTTCGTACAAATCTAATATGGCTTAAATGCTCTCCACCAACAAAAGGCCCAGATAAATGCTATCTTCCCTCTCTTAGATTCTGAATATGTCAATTACTTACACAGACTATAGATTAGTAAATTCTCAGTTGTGTAATCAGAAATAGATTTTGCTCTGTAGACGTTTCATTCTCTATTTTCGCTAATGCTGGTTTTATTTACCTTCCTTATTGTAAAACACTTCAAGCTGCATTTTAATGTATGAATGGTGCTATACAGATGCTGGGTTACTGCACTAAAATTATATTCTTTTTTCCGCATTTGTAACCCTGCAGAAATAAATATTCTGTTATGACAGCACAGATATTACATTTTCTCAAATATGTTTTGTTATTTATTCTCACAACAATATATTAACAGAATAACATTTCTACACATAAATAATAATTTGAACTGTTTCCTCTTCTTCATCACTTACCTCCATCTGACACTCTCCTTCAACCCCCTTAGTCTCCTTCAGCTTCTTTCTCTTCAACTCCTCACATGTGTTTAAGTACCATAGAAATGTTATTAAACTCAGATTAACAGGAACTCAAGGCTTAATCAGAGATCGATCAATGAGATACATAACACTGACATCACCATGCTGCAAACATGTCATGGCAGATGTATATGCTGTTATGAGCTGTCATAACAGATCATGTTCAATAATATTAACATTAATGTTCTGCCCATGCTTTGACTACTTTATGCTCGACTGTTTATATATGGGTTCTTCTTTGCCTGGTAGAGTTGTAACTTGGATTTGCTGATGTAGCAACAAACTTTGTTCACAGACAGTGGTTTTCAGAAGTGTTCCTCAGTCCATGCAGTGATTTCCGCTACAGAATCATGTCACGGCCACCCAATATTGGTTTTCGGCCTTACCTCTTGGATACAGAGATTTCTCTGGATTCTCTGAATCTTTCAATGATATTATATGATATTTATATTTGCAATGACATCAGATTTAAACTTTGGTAACACCCATTAAAATACAAGTGAAGTAGTAGCTTCTATTACTGATAATCGTGATTTTTTTTTGTAGAAAATTTTGTGCTAATTATTTTCAGATATCTCCCAGGCCTACTGTCACAGTTGTTTGGCAACAATACTATACATAAGCTACAGGAACTACATTTCTTGGTTGAATACTTGTTTGTGTCAATTATTATTAATAATAACAAATTCTTTTCTGAAAAATTGTCTATTTTACCATATTGTATGTTGGCCGCCATTTTGCTTCACGTCGTGCCTATGAACACCCTTCCCTATGACAAAACTGCAGTAACACACTGCCTCTGGTGGCTTATTGCTTTACCAAAATTCAAACCTTTTACATGTTGCTTGTTTTTTTCATCTGCTAAAATGACAAATTGTTCCGCCAATTAGGATTAAGACTTTTTAGAAGTATTATTGTACAGTTTTTCTCTCAACGCTACAGTATTTTCATTTGTACATTTGCTGTATGAGTTTTTTTTACAATTTGGCCTGATGTTTATCTTAGCTGTTAGCCAACAACATCATGGACAAAAACATTTTCAAATAATGAAGAAAGTCAGAAAAATGAATAATGTACAAAAGAATATACAGCCTTCCATAAATAGCCTTAGCAACTCCGCTGGTTAAGGTTAGTAGAGTAGAAAGATTTTATGCATGTTACTGATAATTGTTTGGCCAAAAATGTCTTATTTAGTGACAACAGAAGGTTTACATCTGCAATATCTTGGATTCAAGTTAGTGCTGACCTACATTTACTTTAACAATTTTCTTTAGCTTTGCATAGTCGCTGACTCAATTTGATTAATTTCATAATTTAATTTTTCCAATTCTGTAATGTAGGAACCACCTGCAGTTATTCTGAGTAATGAACAGGAGGACAGCTATGAATAACAGTAGCAGCAGAGGTTAATAACTCCCATGCAGTATTAATAAGCCATCATGTTTGGTGTATCTTATATTTACAGCTTTAGGTGGTGAATATATTAGAACGTCTAAGGAAAGTCAATGTATGTTAAGGCCTAATGTAATCAGACTGAGACTAGTGATGAAAGTAGTGAGGAATACTTACACTTTCTTCATTTTTAATTTGCTGCATCTGTAGCGAACAATTGATAACCACATACAACATGTTTCCCTCAACTTAGAAAAGAACAGAAAACCTGTAAACTCAAAACATGGTTAGAACAGAAATCAATGTGCCAGTGCTGAAGCAGCTGCTTTGGCTTTTATTATGCCTTATTTAATTTAAATAAAGTAATAAAATAAAATTAATGTGCACTATTATGGCATAGACTGGGTTACTCAGCATGTACTGCTCAGTATATTCTGGATTAGTTGGTGCATGCCCTCTGTAAGTCCTTTCCTGACTTTCTGTGAAGGTGAATTCCCGTTAGATCCGCGTCACAGTCCCCCTGCTGGGCCCGCTTTAATTGCTTTTGTGAACTGAGGGGGATTTAGCCTTGTGCAAACCTCAGCAACATCCACACTGTCCTTTTTACCTTGTAATAAAAAGACCACCAATGTCCCACCGTCCCCAAACCTGCCTTCAGTTCCCCAAAGACCTAAACGTCTCTCATAGCAAGAGCGGACCCTTTAAAGGACTTCAGCAAATTTCAGTTTTAATCTCTATCTGCTGCATCTAGCGTATAATCGTTTACTGCAGATTATGACTTCAACACATTTGCCTGAACTCAGAAAAGAACAGAAAACCTGCTGACTCGAAAGTGACATAGTAGAATTCAGTGGGCAGTTGCAAAATTATGTGAATTAACATTTGAAAGTTGTGTTGTCATTCATTAGCTACCGTTTTTGCTATAACAAAACTGAATGGCATTTTTAAAAATTGCTGCCATTTCTGTGGTAAACAAAAATGTTCCAAACCTGGTTTTACCAGACATTAACATTTAACAGATATTTTACCTCAAATTGTCACTGGATCCTCTGAATTATTGGTTTGTTCAGTGCTAATGAACAAACACAATGAAAGAGTGACTGTGTGACTGCCGGACACAAAGTTGTTGTATCACTTTAAATGTTCTGTCTTGGCGTTTTTGTAGGCTAGCAAAAATGGTGGGAAAAACAGTAGACATTGGCTACCAAAGTCTGTGTATGCTGACTTTACTCTGTTTGACTGAATATAATAGCAAGGTATAAACATTAATATTGTGAATTTGTTTGGTAAAATAGGCTGTAGAGACACCATGTTGTTCTACTGTGTGTACATAGCTGCCTGCTTTTAGTTTCAGTGCACACTGTGGTGCAAGTTAGCAAAGCTACTGTAACACAGCTTCTTAGAGTGTTTCCTTATTACTTGGCCATGAAGTGTGTTGCTTTCAAATTATTTAATTTTAAAGGTACATTGCACTCATATACAACTATTTCATTTTAAGCGGGTTACTCAGTGTGGTATCAGATTTGGTCTCGGTCAGCACAAAAAATATGTACTCGTTCTCAGCCTGGAAAAAAAATGGTAATGATGCATCCCTAATTAATACACGAAAGCTAACACTGCTGCACACTGAGCTGACATAAGACTGACCTAAACTGACATAAGACACTGTGATGATGCTAGCTGGTCTAGCACATCACCAACAGCTATGAACTAAGACTCAAAGAGACAAAGGTATGACTGAGCCTTTTATTTTAATTAACGTAAAAAGACAGTTACTTGCCTGTGTCCTGGAAAGAGTGACGGCACGGGTCATTCGGTCCTCTCGTAGGTCTGCGGGCCTGTGAGGGATACAGGGACAGGGGGTGCACAGGTCGACCTGGGAAAAAGAAAAACAAAACTGTTAATGAAATAATCGCTAATATTGAACACTGGCCATGAATGACATCAGTAGATACATGTACTCTAGGTAAATGCTGAATATGTGTGTATTGTGAATGGGAACGTGACTATTTTGCCTTATGAATACCTGAATTTAATTTTGGTTTAGTCCTGGAAGGGGCTATAGGTATTTAAGGAGAGGCCCAGTCTAGGTAAGGGGGTCTAACAGCTGCAAGTACAACGGCTAGTCTCACTGCTGATATGTATCCTGAGGTAGAAAGGGAAATTAAGTGAGAATAGTCCAGGAGGAGCAACAAAACGCCTGTCATGCATTTTTGAGTTTTTTTTTTTGTGTGTAAATAGTTGTTTGCAAGTACCTTGGTGAAGGATTTTTTATAGTGCTGTTTGGATCTTTGATAGCCTGTCTGCAATAAAGAAATGGGGAGAGAGGATTATTTAACCAGCCTTCTGCTCGAACTTCTTCTAAACATGCCAACACGGTAACCTCCAGGCCACTTCGAGTCCACTCTACCACAGACAAAAAATAGTTAAGTTGCTTTGGCAGCAGTAGAGCACATGAGGAATAGCTGGTGTTGGTATGTAACACTGTTGAAGTTAAGGAGCAATAGGAGAAATATGACTATTACTACATATGAGCTAACACTTCTGCGTACTAAATTGACATCATAAAACTGACCTCATTAAAATACCCCACACAAACCAGCAAGCTTTGTCCAGCATGGTAGTTTAGAGGCTTTGGCAGTTTTAGGCTGCAGTTTGAGTAGCTGGTGTTGGTATATAACAGTGTTGAAGTTTAAAAGTAGACTTACTTTTATGCACCATCATTTTAGTGCACAGCACTAGTGCTTTTAGCATGTATGTAGCATTACTTATATTTTGGCTGCTAAACAACCTTTTAATTCAGAAGATCCAGTGACACTCGTACTCAGGACAAAGCATAGCAGCTTTGAGGCATTTGTGTTTACCACAGTGATTTACACAACAGTGATTTCCATAGACGCCATTCAGTCTTCCCATAAAGAAAAGCAGCTTAGGCCTGGAGTTCCTAACATGGGCTACAGGACGACAACACAACTTCAGAGATGTACATAGGATGAGACAGTAAAACTCATGGAAATGGCTTCTATAGACCCCTTCAATGTTTGTAAACAAAGAAGATGTCGCAAAGATGCTCACACATTCTGTCATTGTCCTGACTCAGCAGAGGGAAGCAATTGAGTGCTAAGTGGACTGAAGCCCCCTGAGCAGGTCAGACTCAGTTACTTCTAAGGCGTAAGGGAAAATAGCAAAATAGGACATGGCGAACATTTAGAACTATTTTTGGTACATAAGATAGATAGATAGATAGATGGATAGATAGATAGATGTAGGACATGTGCCCTTTAAATCAAAATTTGCATATCTGTATCATCAGTCTGTTTGAATATTTTGCACACAATATCTTTTATTTCTGTCCTTTATTAATGATTCAGCAGTTAAGGAAAAAGTAACTAACACTGTGTATCTTCTGTTGATGTGTGCATCTTTCTGGTGGCATTTCTCCTGAAACCGTCTGTTATAAGTACATTCAGAGTCAGTGGTTATTCTGTTCCATTATAAGTTGAAGGAAATGTGTTGACATAATTGTGGAAATCAACCATTCACTACAGACTCAGCAGATAGGACAGTTAAGTATTAAATGTACCGTGTGGTTAAATAATACAATTCTCACCATAATGCTTCTCTGTCTGTTACTGTCTGCTGGTCTCTGAACAGACTCTGAACAGCTGAAAACACTTCATTAGGAACCAGATGAAGGAGAGCAGCTCATACAGCTGTGTGATAGACGAGGACGACATGACGTCGGCCTCCGAAAGTGTGTTTGAGGTGAGTTCAGGGAGCATCCGGTGTGTGTGTGTTTGATTTGTGTATTTAGGAAATGAGGATATTGCGTGTGTGTGCGCGGGGGTGGTAGATAAACATTTACAGAGGAGCACGGCTAATGTAACCACTGTGCGTTTGTATTGTTTTGTAGTAAAACCAGAGAAAAACAGGGCTAACTTAGATACTTACATATGTAACATATTATTGTTACATGTAGAGTACTGTCCAGACCATTCTTCTTCTTTTAGGAAATACTTCTGAGGAGATTACATATAAGATAATCCATCTGCATAAGGAAGGACAAAGAGAAAAGAAAATATGTAAAAAAAAAAAACTGTGACCTCCAAAACTGTCCCCATCAGATAAACAGTACTCAAAGCTGTAAAGCCCTTAATGAACAACAACAACAAAAAAAAATATATACACACACACACACACACACACACACACACACATATAAAATACATATGGGGCTTTTGGTGTGTTATTATTACATATAGATTCTTACATATATAATACATATGGCACATATTAATATATATAAATACATACATATATCAAACGTGAGATAAATGTCCCCACATCCCGACAATGTAAACACATGTATGTGTGTAGTCCCTTGGTATCACCAGAAGAGCACATTCACCACAGACAAGAGGAAACACAAAGGCCATCTGTATCTGACCATTAGATCATTATTTTCTCTGCACTGCCAGCCATGTTTATGTTCTGAATGTTATTTTGTCATCTCTCTCTCCTCCAGTGTTCCATCAAAGGAAACATTTCAGCACTGGAGTGTCTGAGCCTGAAGGAGCCTGAGCTGCTGAAGTCCAGAGATGAGGTCGGAGCCGGCCTGCTCCATTACGCCACTGCCAACGCTAACCTAGAGGTCATCCGGCTCATAGTGACCACAGTGGGCCCCGAGGGTGAGGCGCTCTGAAATTACAGCTTTACAGTAAAAACACATTAACATCAACATCATCTCACACGAAACTCTCCCCATCACCACTCCATTCGCTCATTAAAAGTGTAATGTGAGAGCATTAGAGAAATAAGCTGTTTCAGAGTGATCATAATTACATAAGATTACAAGATCAGAGCAGGAAAGCCCTGAAAACACGGGAAGAAGCAGAGTGCCAGAAAAGAGTTGTTCTGAACCTTTCAGGCTGGTGCACTGACTTTTGAAAAATACAATAAAAATGGTTGCTGTGGTATTTCTGCTGGTTGCTAAGGCATTGCTTGGAGGTTGTTAGGTGGTTGCTGAGTCATTGCTACAGAACTGATAGGTGGTTGCCATGGTACTTCAGGTGGTAGCTAAAGCGTTGCAAAGCAGTTGCTAAGGTATCCAAGTGAAAGCTAGGGTGTTGCTATGTGGTTGCTATGTTATCTCAGGTGATTGCTGAGGTGTTGTAAGGCTGTTACTATGTTATCCCAGGTAGCTGCTAAGATGTTGGTAGGTCATTGCTAGGGTAGCCCAGGTGGTTGCTAAGGCCCTACTAGGCTGTTGCTGTTATCCCAGGTGGTTGCTAAGGTGTTGGTAGGCCGTTGCTGTATTGGTAGGCCATTGCTGGTTAAGTTATATTGTGAGTGTAAGTTACTAGGTAATTTTACTAATCTAAGCTAGTGTTCAGGGTGAGCTAATGGGTCAGCTAGTCTAATAACTCAGTGAAACCTTTAATGATCAGTTTGGTATGCTATTCTTATTTGTAGAGTTGAATAGTCAGTTTGGTGTTTGGACAAAGCTGAGTGGTCTAGTCTGTTTAGTATAATAATACCAAAGATGCCAGAAGTGGAGTGGCTGAGGGTGTTTAGCTCTACTGTTTAGAGTTGAATGGTCAGTTTGGTGTTTGTAAGAAGTTGAATGGTCAATTTAACTGTACTGTACCCTGTAAAGCTGAATGATCAACATGGTGTCTGTAATAAGTTAATCAGTCAATATTCTGTTGTGGTGTTTGTCACAGCTGAATGGTCGGTTTAACTTTACTGTGCTGTGTGGAGTTGAATGGTCAGTTTAAATGTGCTCTGTTCTGTAGAGTTAAATGCTCAGGATGACCAGGGCCGGACCCCTCTGCACTGGGCTGTGGAGAAGAATCAGGAGGAGAGCTGCTCGTTGCTGCTGGAGTTAGGGGCTGATCCCAACATCCTTAGCGTGGCCCTCATGTCCCCACTGCACCTGGCCATCAGCCGTGAGCGCAACAACCTCGTACAGGTGAGTCAAGCAAAGTCCAGGTGGACATCCTTTGGGTTGGAGCAAGAAAGGAAATGTTACATGTGGAGGATGGCGCTGTTATAGACCTTTGAAGTCATGTGTCATTCTGTAGTCAGTGTCTTGCCCATATTAGGAACTCCAAGTCTAAGCTGGATTTCTCTACGGCAAAACTGAATGGGATTTTCAAAAATCACCACTTTCATGCCGTTTCCAAACCCGATACATTTCATCCTATGTACATTTTCCCTTTGAACATTACTGGATCTGCAGAACTACAAGGTTGTTAAGGGGTCGACATATGAACTTTGCTGCATGTGAGCTAACAGTGATTGTGTATATAGCATTATAAGACAGGCAAGTATACAAATACCCCAAACAGACCAGCGAGCTTTGTGGTAGTTAAGTTGCTTTGGCAGCAGTAGAGTACATGAGGAATAGCTGGTGTTGGTACATAACAGTTGTTGAAGTTAAGGAGCAATAGGAGAAATATGACTATATATGATGTAGCATAATCCATATGTTGGCTTCTTAACAGCCTCATAATCCAGAGGATCCAGTGACATGAAATGAGACAAAACAAATCTGCTTTGGAACGTTAGACCCACCTACCTTTTCAATGCTGGTTTTAACAAGGCTTTCCCCTCAGGGGAATCTTTGTTAAGGCCTGTTTAATCACTATATTCACTAAAGTCAAGGGTGTTGGATGAGCCCTCGGAGGGGTGAGGGATGGAGTGAACATCAGTATCGACTTCAGCAGCAGAACTTACACAGAAATCATTGCAGCCTGATGCATTTTCCTCTTCAAACCCGAAAATAATGGCGGACAAAGCTGTTTATAAGCTACAGCAATAAACTACTTAAACCTCTTAAAGTCCCAGGCTTATAACATACTAAGGCGTATTATTCAGTAACTACAGGGACTTCAGTGCAAACTGGCTGAGCTATTCTTAGATTATAGAAGTGTGTAATAATATTTTTGGCCTGCTGATGGGCCCTGGCCATTTAAGAAGTTAAAATGCTTAACTTAACTTAATGCTTTCTAAACCATAACATTAAATTTACTGAGCTTTAAGTTACAAACTACTCCATTTGTTGTACTTGAGTGCTGATACATCACTTTCAGCTTTCAGCAACTTCACTCATCACTTTCCTGTGCTAGCTGGATTGTTAGCATGCTAAAGTTTGAATAATCCCCTCCACACTGTCACCTCCTTCCCTTCTGCTGCGAGTAGCCACTTGCATAGCATAGGTGTGACACACATCTGAAGTGGGTGAGGGCAAGATAAAAAAAAGATTTGAAACGAAGCCCCGGAATTGCTAATATGGGCATTAGGCTGACTACAGAATGACATACGACATCAGAGGTCTATTCCAGTTTCTGTTCTAGTGGCAAACTGACAAACTGATACACAGATGCTGCTCTTTATGTTTTATGTTTTTAATACATGAACATGCTTTCTTTGTCTGTTTGTAATATTTAACAGAAAGCTGTACATATTTTGCTATTTTTTGTTATTTTCTTCATTTTTCATTTCATCGTCTTATTGTGATGGCAGCACTCATCTACATTCAAACCTTTCAGGTGTTTATGGTTGGAATATAATTTCTGAGCCCAGTTGACAGGTGTGTTTTCAAGGCAGTTTTACAGTGGTCTATATGCATCTATGCATTGATGGAAATTTTACACAGTTAAAAGCAAACAGAGAGCAGAAAGTAAAGAAAACAGTGATGATATGTGTTTGTGTTGTGGTGCAGCTGCTGGTGTCGAGTGGCCGGGCAGATGTGAATTTGGAGGGAGATTTGGGGAACACTCCAGTGATGATGGCGTGCTCCCATAATAACTGCCAGGCTCTGCATATACTTGTGAGTGCAGACGTGCAAATTACCTTCCGTTCACTCTCAGACCAAACAAATCAATACCAGTAATGAGTAATGGATGACTGAAGTGAAGGCTACTAAATAAAACAAGATAGATTTCATTTTAGGGTGGGAATCACTCGAGGCTTCACTGTGTGAGACAACACCGGAGGCACTATACAATGTTATTATGCTACTTGAGCCACAATATGATATTATCACAATAGTGAGCCATGATATATTACAATCATGCTACTTGAGCCATAATACACTAAAAAAATAAAATTATTGCAATCCTATATTATATGGATATGTTACTTTCAGCACTAACACGCTCCTGTATCTCTCTTATCTAGTTTAAACACGGCGCAAGGCTGTGCCATCAGAACAAGCTGGGCCACTTTGCCATCCATGCCGTGGCATTCGCTGGTGCCAAAGATGCCATGGAGGTGATTTTGCTGAAAGGTAAAGCAGCTTTACTTCTCTACACGTTCAGCTTGTTTAGCGCACCACTGATAGCATGTCTGCTGCTCCAGAAATATTTGCTTCAAGACCAAAATATTTGTGAATTTTCTGCCCTCTCCTCTGAGTAAATGGAAAATCCCATCATTTACATTCCCGATTACAGTCCACATGTGCAGGTGACTCAGCTGAGTTTATAAGGCAGAATAAGAATAACAAATGCCTGGTCAGTCAAAGTGCGGTTTATGTGCTCCATCATCTGGGTTTTGTTTGCAAATCTGTGGTCAGGAGTTAAACAAATGATAATTGAGGCTGGGACTGATTGAAACTCACTGATCCTGTCATTCTCTCTCTCTTTCATTATGCTCTCACTATATTCTCCCTCATACTCTCTCTCATATTCTTTCTCCTTATACTATCTCTGTCTCTAATCTCTTATATTATCTCTCTCTCCTTCTCCTTATACTGTATCTCTCTCTATACTCTCATATTCTCTTTCATATTCTTTCTCCTTATACAATCTCTATCTCTACTCTCTCTGTCTTATGTTTTCTCTCACTCTCACATTCTCTCTTTATCTTTATACTCTCTCTATCTCTACTCTCTCATATTCTCTCTTTCTCTCTCTCCCTCTCTCTGTCTGTCTTTCTGTTTTCTCTACTCTCTCTGTTCTGTCTCCTCTATATTTTCTCTGTATTGTCTCTCTCAGGTGAAGAGCTGGGTATCTCCACCTCTGTACATGTAAATTATCTGGATAAGTCTAAAAGCAGTCCTCTACACTTGGCTGTGCGAGGAGGAAACACTGAAGTGATTAAGCTCTGCATCTCTAAAGGAGCAAAGGTGGACCAGCAACAGGTGACTGACAAAAAAAAAAAAATTCAAAGGCTTTCAGATAACTGCTACTGTATTGCATGGACAAAAAACCTTCATCAAAATGTTACTTTCGGTAGTTCACCAACACATTTTGAATGCAGAAAATGGACATGAAGGTCATGTAATTTTCACAGACTAAACACAGTTTCTAATTTTCATCACCAAAGTCTAGTGAGAGCAACAGTGGCTGCATGCTCCAACCAACAAGTGTACATATCATAAACATCATTTATTCAGCCGTGTGCCAAAGTTTGGGTGCCCCGGTCAAATTGCATGTGTTGATTGTCTAAGTGAAAATAAGTTCATGCCTAGGGGTAGGGTGTCCCGATTTTTGTTGAGATAGAGAGGTAGGGCGACGTGTTAGGGCTACATGGCCAGGGCTACATTTTTCAGAAGCACACTCCAAACAGAGTGTTGTGAGAAAAACAAAAAAACGGCAAGATGGCTGTGCAAGCGACCAAAGAAACCCACAAATGTAAGTATTTTCTCAGTTAAAAAATACTATAGCCATTGTATTGTCTTAGTTTAATGTCATTTCAATGTATTATAGTCTTTTTCTTCATGACAAGCATAAAAATTACTAGCCAGCAAAATTTCCTGAGGTGCCAGAATGCTGCACTGCATTGAACTGCTGCACCATTTAAGGTGGAATGGGAAAATTTAAAGAAGAAGCTGGGGAATAGCTGACTTCAGCTTTATGTCACCAAACAATTGCGGTGGGTGATAATAAATAATTGTTGCATACTCCACCCCTCTCACCTTTGAAGGCATATGATTCCCTAAATTTAACTAAAGACCAGGTTGCTGAACTTCACCTCTGCTATCACTGCAGATTGGCAGGGTTGCCTACAGAGCACAGCTAGTAGCCTGTTAATGAAATAATGTTCTTTTTTATTTCATAGGGGAAGTCTAAGGGGCATGGTGACACTCGAAAACAAGAGGTAGAGGGTAAAAATAAGTATTAGGATTGGGCCTTAGGCTTGCTTATGGTGAGTTAATGAGGGATGGAAGATCATTAATCTATAGCAGCGCACTGTCCAGCAAAGTTTGCTGAAAGTGCGCAAGGTTTTGGTTTAAAAGACATTCAAAAGCTATATTTGAACAAGAGCGCTGCAGTCATGGCATCATACAGTGCATTTCTCAAGTTGTCATGACATCAAAATTTCCATATTTGGTGCCCACAAAAAGGCCTGCCACAGTTGTCTGATAGCAGACATTTGCGCTGACAAGTTATTTTATTACATACTGGGTATGTTTTCGTCAGATGAGTTAAGGCAAATACCTGTAAATAAAAATAGCAGAGGCATGTTATGGATCTTATGTCATTAGAGTAGCGAGGCAGCTGCTCAGCCAGTTTGGCCACTTTAGACTTGCACTTTAATAGCTGCACATGAACAAAAAAGAAAATGTAATTATTAGTCATAATTATTTACATTGCAATTAAACGTCAGATTAAATGTCACGATCATGACGGGCCTACCCACAAAGATTTAAATGCACGCACACACATACTCAGGGGCGGTTTCCTGAACTGATGCACTGATTCAGGCTCCTCCGGCTCTGCTCTGCACTCTCAGAGCCCCATCAGTGCAGTTAGTGCTGCGGTAATAGGCTCAGATTCAGGAGGTAAATTGATACAGATTGTGGGCTCTTATAGCCGAACTGACCGCGGCCTTTTCTCTTTTCCCTCCACTGCTGCCCAGAGTGTTCTCTCATTAATGGTCTGATGGTTTGTGGTGCTTGTAGAAAGAGCAGCTGAGAGATGACCCATCCTGCTGACCCTCCGCTCTCACTTATCTCAGACTAATAACAGGCTCCACATCTCTCTCAGTGTGACCGTTTCATCTCCGCTTCTTTACAGTGTGACAAATCCACAGCTCTGCACTTTGCCTGCACCCAGGGAGCCATTGAAGCTGTCAAAATCATGCTCCTGCCCTACAAACAAATGGAAGAAATAATCAACATCAGAGATGGAGCCAATCAGACCCCCCTGCACAGGTCAGTCCGGGGTCAATAGAGGTCAAAAGTGTCCCTGTTTGACCAAAGCAGCTTTGAAAACATTCGGGAAGTAAAAAGAAAAAGTAAAGTATAGAGGGGGTTTGCAGATCTAGGGCATTATTCACAATCACTAATAAACATCTTTCAAAACTCTTGATACATTGCACCACTGAGAACAACCTCATTTAATCAAAACATCAACAAGAGTGCTCTCACAACATGAATACTTTATCAATCACAGCACAGACACCCCAGAAACTCTCATTATTTTAAATTTCTGCATAACTTAGCAGTTGCGATGGAAAGAAAGTCATTCAGAGTGGTTTGATGTGAAATGGTTCATTGTATATGCTTAAATTTCTTTACAGTGATGGTGATAGTAACCAGGAGTCACAATGTCTAGAACATAAATATAGACATTTCATTTACCATCCAAAACCACCAGTGACCCTACAAGTGTCTTCTGAGTTTTACATGTAGTGTTGATGAAGGTTAAATAGTGAAAAATCTAAAAAAATACATTTCTTTAACTATTTTGTCTCACAACACCCTACCTTTACTCCTCCACCATGAATGAATTTTGAAGTAAGTTTTAGAAGAGAATCTTCTCAAAACTATTGTAAAACTGTGTTTCAGACGTCAGGCATTGTATTCATAACCATTTTCATATAATAACTTTCTGTGAGGGAGCTTTTAGAGGTGGATGTCTGGTTCCTATCACCACCATTGTAAACAATTCTGACTCTGTAAGTTTCTCTAGAACAGAGCATTTCACACCAAACCACTCTGAATGACTTGTTTACATCTTACATGTCTCACATGTGATTTTCTATTTTACCTGAATTTAATCAGAGGTTTCAGTGTAACAAATGTGTAATAATGTACACATGCATATGCAGAGCTACAGGAATGCTCATATTTTTTTCTTGGTGTTTTGGCCTCCCGTCCACAGCAAAACAACGCTTTTGTTCACTGAAAACTGAGTTTTTTTAAAACTTTGTTTTCAGGGTTTTGTGAGAACAGGCAAAGCACAGCTTTTTGCAAGCACTGACATCATGAACTCACACATACCAGCAGCTGTTTCAGTTATTAATCCATGTAAAATCTGGCTGACCACTGAGTTGTTTCTGTGTGTTCAGTAACATAACATCCAGTTAACTGATTATGACTCTTGGGTTTTATTTATCATTTATTTCTCTTCTGTTGACAGAGCCACGTTATTTGATCACATTGAACTGGCTGAATATCTTGTTTCAAAGGTAAACGCTGCAGAATGGTTTCTAGGCCTATTTCTCTACTGTAAACGTTGTTCAGCTGCCTGTTTGATGGACTGTTTGATTATAGGGATATCAGCTGTTTCATTCTCATATCACTGTACATTGTCAAAGCCCATAACTCACTGACTTTTATTCTGCTTTTTGGAAAGGGAGCAGATATTGATTGCATTGACTGTAAGGGTCTGTCCCCGTTGCTGCTGGCGACCTCGTGCAGCGCCTGGAAAACAGTTTCATTTTTACTGGCAAAGGGTATGTTATGATTTCTACAACTAAATATTGTGTCCATTTTTAACTGAAGCAAAGCTTGATGAGAAAAAAAAATCCCCTTAAATCTGTCCATATTTAAAGATAACAGTGTGTTATACAGAAAACACATCATAAACCACAAAATCCTGTATATTTTTCAAAATCTACATGGAATATATTGTAATATATTTTGACTATATTTATTGAATGAAAATATAATATATTGACATGATGTCTATGACATATTGCAATGTAAAAAAAAACCCAAAACAAAAACAAATACTTCCAAAATGGTAACTTTACAGGATAAGGGAACGATGGCCTTATCTTTTAATGTAAGTTAATGTAAATAAGTTTTATTCCATGATTTTGGAACGGTTCCAAGAAAACAAACTAGAGAAACTTTTTTTGTGGATTTAATATTTCTAATATTACATTTAAAATGAAATTAATTTATTGCTATATAATGTGTATATTTTCCCAAAATACAGTATATTTGAATATATTTCCAATCTATTTTAAGTGAAAATGTAATATGATGCTATATGATGTTTATATATTCCAAAGCTATAGTACATTGTAATATAGTTGCAATATATTATAATTAGAGTGAAACTGTAATATACCGCTATATATATGCCATATTTACCAAAAACACAATATATTGTAATACATGTCCAATATATTATATTTTCATACATGACAACTTGTGAAGTTTTGGTGAAATTCACTGTTTTGAATGTTAAATAGGCCATTCACATGAATCATGTAGGTTCAAGGAGGTTTTTCTGGAGGACTGGGATGCTGTTTGGTCTTAAAGAGAACAGCAGGTCCTTTTCCAATACATAGTCATTGTTTTTTTACTGTTAAAAATTCCATGGACCAATTAGAAGCAAGATAACACCACCGTCATCACCGACATTAACCTCTGTATCTCTGGATATGCTACAGTATAAACAGGGTTGAAGGCAAGTTGGTTTATGGCTTATTTTCTTGTTTTTCCATTTCCATAAACTCTTCTGGGCTAGTAGAACAGGTAGTGGATAGAGTTGAGACACTAACCTGAAACAAGCACAGGCGGCTGCAGCAGCAGCAGCAGCAGCAGCACCATTTAGCCAAACAGCTAACGTACTCAACAGAGCGCAGAGTGCATTTGGCTTGTCAGAATAGTTCTCCTGTCTGCTTCTTACCATTTAAATTAAACATATTGCATTGTTCATGAAGATGATGTTTGGCTGTTATTCATAATTTTACTCATATCTTAAGTTGTGTATCAAAAACATTGAGATTTCAGGTGGAACAGAAAATTTGAATAAGAAGAGAAAGACAGCCTCCTGCTTCCTTCAGAATTGGTAGCTAATGAGCTGTCATGTTTTTTCCATCCTGTCGTTTAATCTAATGTGCACCAGAATGTTTCATTTTCATTTTAAAAGCACTAAATTTCTGATGGGTGAAGATGCCTTCGAACTCACCTACAGCAGTTGTGTTTTCTAAACTTGTCACCTTTTTCACTCCTCTCCGGTTTTCATGCTTGATTTTAAATGTAAATCCAGGAGATTGCTATATGATTTCTATATGTTCCAAAACTGTAATATATTTGCAACTATAAGGTAGCTAACAGCTTTAATATACTTGTTAGCTACATTTGCCTCATGGCACCTGTGCTAAAACTAAAGAAGCATACTTTAGACACCAAACAAGTCTTTTTGACTACATTTGGGGTAAGAGGGGAGTAATGGACCTTCACTGGACTGTCTCTTTAACTGTGTGAAAAGTAACTCATGTCAATGTGTTGCTGCAGGTGCAGATTTTAGATTAAAAGACAAACATGGACGAAACTTCCTCCATCTGGTTGTCTTCCAACCAAAAGGGCTGAAAAATCTTCCTGAACACATCTTACAGGTACAACAGAGCAGATTAGTAAAAATACAGACAGACAGACATTAAAGTATAAAATAGAAAAATGATAAAAGCAGGGAAACTGATTGCTTTGAAATCTTGATTTTATTGAAACTCAGATAGTGAATTAACTACACAGATCATGATGTTATTTGAACAACACTGGTGAATCAACATTACTGTTTAAAAGTTTGGAATCACTGTTTTTATTAAGAATTAGTAGGATAGTTTCAACTAATTAGTAGAAAGCTGGAAAAAATGCAGAAATTGAAGTGCCATGGTAAACAGAGCTGTAGATGATACAGTAATGACTGAGAAAGCTGTGTAACAGTTCTAATAAAACTTCTAATAAAAGTTCTAATACAATTAGAGACATCACCTGAAAACTCTTAGCCAAAAGGGTTCTATATAGTACCAAAAAAGGGTTCTTTGGCTTGTAACAATAATGGAACCCTTTTAGGTGCTGCAGCACATTCTCTATCAATCTGAAGAACACTTTCATGATGCAAAGGGCCCTTTTTTAGTACGTTATTTTAATATGTTCCCTATAGAGAGCGTGTTAATTACTATATGTTATGACTGTGTTATATCTGTGTTATCTGTGAGTTTTTGGTGTTCCCAAAAATCATCTTGAAATACCTTCTGGTGTCTAGCTTATAGTACTTCAATCTACACTGTAAAAGTTATTATTGAATAAAATAATGGAAATGATTAATCTGACAGATGATTTCAAACTTTTTAATGGTCATGTAAGTTGACTAGAAAGGTAGTGTATGTTAAGGAAAATTTATGCTCACAAAAAGGCTGAATGTTTGTGTAAAGCTCAGAGGATCAACATTCTTGGGCTAGAAGTCTTTCAGGCTTACCAGACTAGTTTCCAGACAATAGTATTTTTAACGTGTAATCACCACTGACATTACAGTTTGGTTCAAGACTAGGCATAGTCCATGTCATGCAAACTAACCCTTTGCTTTTATTTATTTAAGCTTAAGTCAGCATATAAAGTGGACTATGCCTCATGTACTCCCATATACACCAGTTGTATTAGTAACTAACGCTGAGCTGTTTCCTCTCCAGAGTAAAGCGGTGATGGAGCTGTTGTGTGATGAAGACTTTGATGGCTGCACTCCACTGCATTACGCTTGCAAACTGGGCATCCATGACTCGGTCAAAAACATGCTGGGCTTAAAAATCTGCCTTGCCCGCAAGTCCAAGGAGAAGAAATCTGCTCTTCACTTCGCTGCAGAGTGAGGCGCCTTCACTTTCTCACACAGTTCACTAATGAGAGCTGTGACAGCTTTATGTCTCACACTAAAGCGCTTATCCTAAAATCCAAGGTTTGCTGTGTATAATGTGATACAGGAGTGTCCAAAGCCCGTCCCAAGGACCAAATGTGTCCGTAGAGAAATTATAACTGGCCCATGGCTTCTGTTTAAGAGTTTGTTATTAGTTATTCAAAAAATGCCATATATTAGAATATATTTCCAATATATTTCATTTTGAATGGGCTAATAATATGGATTAAGCAAATATATATTTTGTTCCCAGTGTATTCTGGAAATGAAACTGTTTTGTAATGAAATGAATTAGCCTGCCTGTTAACCATTCTCTACAGACTTTGACGGTGAGCTTTCCTCATAGATACGGGCGTCTGAACACATGTATCAGGCTGCTGGAGACCATCAGTGACTCAAGGCTGCTAAATGAGGGCGATGAGAACGGACTGACCCCTCTCCATCTGGCCTCCAGGGGGGGACACACTAAAGTAGTGGAACTGCTGCTCAGGAAGGGGGCGCTGTTTCAGAGGTAAAACAGCAATATTCTAATACTTACTGTCTTCCCAAACTCAACTTTTCAACAAAATTTCCATGGTTAAAATGTACACAAAGTCATTCAGAGTGAATGGTTTATTGTAAAGAAACTTACCGATTTACAGTGGTAGTGTTAGGGCCAAGCTTCAGACCAATAAGGACTGAACTTCTGACCAAACAGGACCAAGCTTCTGACCAATCACTGTGAAGCGTCTGACCTAACATGGCTGAGTTTCTGATCAAATAGGACCAAGTTTCTGACCAACCAGGACTGTGCTTTTAACCAATTAGCAATCAGGGCTGAGCTTCTGACCAATCAGGACAATGCTCCTGATTGGTCAGTGTATGTTTTATTCAGTCATTAAGTTTTTAAATATAAGTTTATCCCAGTAAACGTACATCACTAACCTGTGTTTGAACTTGTATAGTTAGTGAAAGTGGCTCTAGGTCCTTTTTTAACTGACTTTTAGTTCTTTAATTGTAGTTATAACAGAAAATTCTCCAAACATCAAAACCATTTTGTGAGCCCTCCGGTAGAAAGATTCATAATAACCTCATAATAAGGTCAAAGAAAAATAATGAACTGTAATTATCTATTTATAGTGATTTTTTGTTGACTCATCTGCCTTGAGATGTGATTGTCAGTTTTGAAATACAAGGCGTTCTGGATATTAACTTCATCTAGTCATTTTAGAATCTTCTACAGCTCTGTTCAGTATTCTGGACACGTATCACAGTTCTTCAGTTTTTCATGTGTTCTCTGTTACAGCTTCCTACAATACATAAACCTGTGAAGTTGCACAGCAGTTGCTCTGCTTTTATATCCAAACTTCTGAACAGTATTGTATATTGAATTGTACTGACTTATTTTGTGCTGACAGTTGGAGATCACAATATGAAGTAATAACAGCACCTAAAATTCACAGAATTATGTTGTGTATATAAGTTACAGAAAGTGTGGGTCACTGTATAAACTCTAATATGCAGTGCAGGAATGTAATTATATTACATAAACATGCCCAGTGTGTCCTGCGTCACAGCTGACCTACAGCTAGGGGTTAAGAGAGGCACAGTAATGATGGCAGGAGCTGAGTAGATTACTTGTGGTTGGAAAAGGAAGAGGACATTGTAGAACTTTAATGGACTGGAGCTTTTAAGGATGCCACAGAAGAATGCCCTGGTCTGCTCACTTTGGTAAAGATGTTTTTGTCTTGAGTCCATTACAGAGGCTCCAGGAATCTGAAGGACACATTAATCAGCAGCTGTCCCTCACTTTTGGGGGAAATATTCTTCTAATGGTGATGGGTTCATATTGTTCTTTCCACATTAAACATGATATATATCCACGTTCTTTCACCATCATTTGTGATCAGACCTGTACGAGTCTTCTCATCTGCAGACTTTATTGTTTTCAGTAGCGCCCAACCCATATGAACAATTTGTAGTCGATACCAATTATAAAGGGCTAAACATTCTAATAACCAAATTTAATGTTATGCTGTAGTGGCTTTAGTTAAACAGTGCTTCATTGACTGATGTGATTGTCGGTTCTCAATTAAACTCAAATAAACAGCAGAAACTCACAGTTGTATTATAAATAATATAACAATTATAGCACTGGAGGCGGATCTGCCCAGAATTCTAGTTTTGGTTTCTTCTTATTACCTCCTTTTCTTGTTTTTCTTTATTTGGTAAAGTTGGATAATTACAAGTTGGTAATTATCCAAACAACAATATCACCAACACTAATAAAACTGCAGGTCGTTAATATTGACCATTATTATCTGCTGACTGATATATCAGTCATACACTAGGAGGATTTGCAAGAGGGTGTAAAAATGCATCAGTACATCAATCCGAAAGTTGGTGATTCAACTGTGTCAAATTTTGCAATGTTAAAATCTATTATAATCAATTATAATAGATAGTATTGTTGTATGTATGAGGAGTCAATGTCAGCTATTGCTTCCAAATCATGACATTAAGAAAAAGTTTGATTGGAGGTGTTGATCTGTACTAAATCCATAGGTTATCTTTGAGTCCCAGTTATGTGTTATTGCGCTCGATAACGCATCCAGACATCTATAATTACTTTGTAAATACTACATTAGAGTGCACATCACAGGAGATAAATCATATAAATCACTATGCTCATAATTGTTTTATCTGTGGAATGGTCAGCGATTTTCTGTCTTTTGGGCCATCAGCTACACCATCAAACATCATTTGCAAAAGTAATAGCTGACATTAAGTATCTATGTTTGATGGAGTTAATCAGTATTGACATTAGCTTACGGTACCTTGAACCATCACGTTTTGCCATTCTGTCAACTGCATTCAATGAACGCGTTTACAAGCATTTAATAATTCAGTCATTTTTGGATTTCAGTAATTTCTGGTTATTTAAGTGGTCATGTAAACAGCATACTCATATCAAATCAAATCATTTCACCATAGCTGCTATACAGATCTGTGTAATTTGACTGATATACGGTTCTTTAGGAAATGACTCAGTTTGATTCAGCTGATACTGTTTGATTTATTTATGTTTCAGTTGATTTACAGTTCTTTAGAAAATGATTACATTTTTACAATTCAAAATTAAAATTCAATTCATTATTGATTTGATTGGAGATTACTCAGTTTGATTTAATTTATTTATTGATTTACACTATTAATATTAAATTAATTAGTGATTCAATTAACTAGAGAATGATTCAGTTTCATTTGATAGATTACACTGTAAAAAATTGCATTCAGTTCACTTAAAATGTAAAAAAAATATTTTATTGGACTTAAAATAATAAGTTAATACAATGTAACACACTGATTATTTTCTGTCTACTTACTTTTAGAAGTTCAACCCATAATATTACTTAAGACCACAACGCTTTTTCATGGTGAATTCTATATGAATCCTTTCTTAAAGAGCTGTAACTGAACTAAATCATTAAGGTATTCTTTCTTATTTTACTGAGTTGTTTACGTCAGAGATGCTCCTGTTCCAATACGCTGCCAGTACAGCTGTAGTTTGAGATAAACGAGGAAAAGACAGGCTGGTAGGAAGCAGTTGGTATGAACTGAGATGGATGATTGTTTCTGAAGTCTGTTGCTCTAATCTGCAGTGATTATAAAGGTTGGTCGTGTTTACATTATGCCGCGGCTGAAGGATACACTCAAACGATGGTAATCCTCCTGGCAGCCAATGTCAAACTGCTGGACAACACAGACGAGGACGGGGTACGGCATTTATTTATTATTTATGGTCATGTCATTTCATACAGGACATTACAAATACAAAATGCAACAAATATAAGCAGAACATATACAATCCTTCTTATATGAATAAAATAATGAAATGCCAGTCAAAAAGGATTGCTCACGTGCACTTAAGTCATATACTGATATTTAGCAACTCTCTGTTCACTTAAAGGACCACAAAAAATAACTGGACATTGTAAGACAGGGGTGTCCAATCTTATCTGCAAAGGGCCGGTGTGGCTGCAGGTTTTCACTCGAAATGAGCTGAAGCACACCTGATTCAACTTGTTTAGTTCAGTTGGTTTTAGTCTTCAAACAGCTGATCATGTGAGCTCCTGCTTTGCTGAAATGAAAACCTGCAGCCATACCTTCCCTATGTGGGTAAGACTGGACCCCCCTGTTCTCAGAGAATGCCACACTGCAGACTGCAGGCCCCCTAGTGGCCATTCTGTCTGTATAATAGAAATCGACTCTGATCGGTTTCATTAAAATAAACAAACAAAATATGTCTTCCTTGAGACTCCATTATCAGATTACCTAGGACACTGTTGGCTCTCTGTAAAGTGAGCGGAGTGTTGTAACTCTGTGTTGAGCTGCTAGCAAGCAACGAGGGGTGAATTAGGAGGGGTAAAACCCCCTACCATGAAGACAAAACACACCTTTCCACAAAGATGGCCATGCCGAGATAAAACATCAAACTATTAAATAATCTTGCACAACTAAAGCTGCACTATTTAAGATTTGGGGATTTGGAGACCTCTCTGGTGGAAATATGTAACTGCTCACAATGTGCAGAAGAATTTTCGAATGTGGGTTATGCTTTGGACCCCTTCCCCAAGCGGAATTCCACAATTCAAAGAGAACTCAGGCAAATCTGGTGAAGAATGTGTCTTCTGAGGATGTCAGTGAATTATCTACTATCGTTATTATGTCTTCATCAGTATAATGCTAATTTTGCATTTGAGATCGAAACATCGAGCTGGACCTTCTTTTTCATGACTGAGTAAGTGACGTTAATACATATAGACGTACAACCGTCCGAAAAACTCCCGACATGAAATTATTTAGCTAAATTTAAATCCGATTACATCTTGGAATCGGGCTCCAAATGATATGTATGAACAGTTACCTTACAAATAAACAAATACACAATGTGAGGTGGTCATAAAGGCTGGACGATGACCAGAATATTGATAAACATTCTTATTAAACATGCTTATTTGTATATTTCCTATGTTATCATTAATTTTTTATGTGTATTAGTGATCATTACAAAGAAAAATGATCTTTGAGCAATTCTTTTTGACTGCTAATGTTTAATATAATATATTTTCCAAAAGCATCATAGCACAACAGTCATGTCGGATAATGTACTGACACAGTTGGGAAAAATACAATACATCTTTAATTTTACATTTTGCCCTGCTAATCTTGCTAATTTTAATAGAACACGGCATTGCACATCGCAGCACGAGAAGGTCACGTTGCAGCGGTGAAGCTGTTGCTGAACAGAGGAGCTCAGTTCCTTCTCAACAAAAACGATGCTTCCTTCCTCCACGAGGCCGTGAGAAATGGCAAGAAAGACGTAGCTAATGCTACTATTGAGAATGAGAGGTGAGAGTTCATAGAATAGTATATTTAAGTAGGGCTGGCTTGAATAATTTGAATACTTGAGTATTTATGCTAATGTTTTTATCTTAGAGATGCATATGGCAGGGTGCTTCTTGAATACTTTACATTTCTATAGGTTTGTACTACAGTGAACATCTTTCCTGCTGTTCTCTGTGCTTTTACTGTTTCTCTAAATTGATCTCACCAGCTGTCTTCAACTGTATCAATTTGTTTCAGATCCAGTGACGCTTTAAGCTTGTTTAAAAGAGGCTCAAACATTCGCTGCGTCGTTCTGGATTTAATAGAGTTCCTCCCGGAGTCTACCAAGGTACATCTGTTTGTTCACATAGGCATATTTATGACTGTGTGTATACGTTCAAAGATGCACATATTTGTCTGCACATTTTTAATATTTAACATGCACGTTTAATGTTTCTTATTGTGAGACGGATGTAAGGATACTGTTAGTGTATTTAAAAAAATCTAGGTAAGTCGTTTTTTGCTTGATTTAGGAAATGCTTGAAAGAAGTACAGCTGCCAGTGCAGTGAGATCATTTCACTCCATGAGACCACATTATATCAGTAGTAATCTTCTGTAAAGTTCTGTAAAGACCGCAGAAGTAAACAAAGATGCTCAGAATTCTTGAAAGTCAATAGATGGCTACAAAGATGGCCATAATTTTGGAAAGATGACAGAAGGATGCAGAAGCACTTGGAGTTCTAGAAAGACAACAGAAGGCTATGAAGATGCCTGGGGTTCTACAAAGACTACAGAAGGCTAGAAAGATGTTTGGTTTTCTAGAATAACTACAGAAGACTATGAAGATGCTTGGAATTCTATGAAGACTACAGAAGGCTATAAAGATGCTTGAAGTTCTTGAAAGACTACAGAAGGCTATGAAGATGCTTGGAGTTCTAGAAAGACTACAGAAGGCTTTGAAGATGCTTGGAGTTCTAGAAAGACTACAGAAGGCTATGAAGATGCTTGGAGTTCTAGAAAGACTACAGAAGGCTTTGAAGATGCTTGGAGTTCTAGAAAGACTACAGAAGGCTTTGAAGATGCTTGGAGTCTCTCGAAAGTCTACAGAAGGCTGTGAAGATGCTTGGAGCTATAGAAAGACTACAGAAGGCTATGGAAGTTCCTGGAGTTCTCCAAAGACTACAGAAAATGATGATGATGCTTAGAGCTCTAGAAAGACTACAGAAGGCTATGGAAGTTATTGGAGTTCTAGAAAGACTACAGAAGGCTATGAAGATGCTGGGAGTTCTAGAATGACTACAGAAGGCTACAGAAGTGCTTGGAGTTCTAGAAAGACTACAGAAAGCTATGAAGATGTTTGGAGTTCTAGAAAGACTACAGAAGGCTACAGAAGTGCTTGGAGTTCTAAACGGCTACAGAAGGCTATAGAAGTTCCTGGAGTTCTAGAAAGACTACAGAAGGCTGCGAAGGTGTTCGGAGTTCTAGAAAGACTACAGAAGGCTACAAAGTTGTTTGGAGTTTTAGAAAGGCTATAGAAGGCTATGGAAAAGCTTGGCGTTCTAGCAAGATTACAGCAGGCTCCAAAGATACTGGGAATTCTAGAATGACTACAGAAGGCTACAGAAGTGCTTGGAGTTCTAGAAAGACTACAGAAGGCTACGGAAGTTCCTGGAGTTCTAGGAAGACTACAGAAGATGATGAAGATGCTTGGAGATCTAGAAAAACTACAGAAGGCTATGGAAGTTATTGGAGTTCTAGAAAGACTACAGAAGGCTACGAAGATGTTTGGAGTTCTAGAAAGACTACAGAAGGCTACAGAAGTGCTTGGAGTTCTAAACGGCTACAGAAGGCTATAGAAGTTCCTGGAGTTCTTGGAAGACTACAGAAGGCTTTGAAGATGTTTGGAGTTCTAGAAAGACTACAGAAGGTTATGGAAATGCTACAAGTTCTAGAAACATTACAGAAAGCTCCAAAGATGCTTGGAGTTCTAGAAAGACTACAGAAGGCTTTGAAGATGCTTGGAGTTCTCGAAAGTCTACAGAAGGCTGTGAAGATGCTTGGAGCTCTAGAAAGACTACAGAAGGCTATGAAGATGCTTGGAGTTCTCGAAAGTCTACAGAAGGCTATGAAGATGCTTAGAGCTATAGAAAGACTACAGAAGGCTATGGAAGTTATTGGAGTTCTAGAAAGACTACAGAAGGCTACAGAAGTGCTTGGAGTTCTAAACGGCTACAAAAGGCTATAGAAGTTCCTGGAGTTCTTGGAAGACTACAGAAGGCTGCGAAGATGTTTGGAGTTCTAGAAAGACTACAGAAGGCTACAAAGTTGTTTGGAGTTTTAGAAAGGCTATAGAAGGCTATGGAAAAGCTTGGAGTTCTAGCAAGATTACAGCAGGCTCTAAAGATGCTTGGAGTTCTAGAAACTTCTACAGAAGGTTATGGAAATGCTACAAGTTCTAGAAACATTACAGAAGGCTCCAAAGATGCTGGGAGTTCTAGGAAGACTACAGAAGGCTTTCAAAGTTTTTCAAAGTTCTTGAAAGAGTACAGAAGAATAAGGAAATGCTAAGAGTTCTGGAATGTATTTGTTCTGCTGTCTGCTGGTGCTCTGTATTTAATGTAGCACCTGTAGTGAGATGAAATGCCAATGAAGCTGACTTTGTCTGACATTTAAGATGCATTCACTGGAGAACATATCATGTTAGTGTTGGTGTTACTGCAGAACAAGTAAATGAACCTGTATTTTTTACCATGCAGCATCTTCTAGACCTCTGTATGACAGAATCAGAGCATGACCCGAACAACATCAACTACAACGTAAGCCCCAAGCAAATTTGATGCTGCATAGTGCACTACATCCAATGCAACAAACTCTGTATATTGCTCACTTTTATATTATTACTTATGACATTGTTTTCAATGATGTGCGTTTTTACAGATCACTTACAATTTCAAGTGGCTTCAGGCTCCAGTACAGCTAAAGAAGTTTGCAAAGAGGGACAAAACAATGCGTTTTCAGCCTCTAGCAGCACTGAATGTGAGTTACAGCATTGTTTTTGTTTACACACAGATTTTCCCACAATACAAATGACTACTGACAACGTAATGAGAATTTTCAGATTTGGAAGTCAAAGTGTATTTTGGATCCTGGCATCTTTACAAAGATGGTTAAAAGGAGAGCTTTTTCTCTAACTGAGAGGAAGCACTGAGAACACATTTATAAGTCTACATGTAGGAACAGGACTTGGACTTGGTGATATTTCAGCCAAATATCTTATTCCCCCAGCCCCCCCTCACTGCAAATGTGATTGATTGGCCAAGACAGGTTTGACCTCTGAAACGTCTTTAGTTTTAGCACTAGAGCTACGAGGCTAATATCACTAACAGGTAATGGAAGCTTATACCCCACCAATTAGCATGGTGCAAATTGCCTAAATCATCACAGATACGCCTCAAATATGTACAAATAACAATGTGACTGTGTTAGAAACATGCCTTTAATCATAGTTTGTCTGAGGTAAGCTAAAATATTTTTAGCTAATTCTTAGTTATATCATGTTAATTTAGTCTTTAGGCTATTTGACTCTAACCAAAAACAAAAATGTTAACCTCTCTGACTGAGTTTGTTTACATCTCAACCCTTTAATTATGTATAATTGGTGGAATTCCCCACTAAGAAGCAATAAACCCAGAAACACATTGCCACTAGACTGGTGCTAACATAACACTGGAAACTGCATTATTGTAACACTGATAATCTATAAATTTACCTCCATTTTAGGTTGGGTTCTTCCTGTTCAAAGCTTTATATTGTAGGTTGTTTTTGATGATGTAGCATTTAAATATGAAACTGTGGAGCAGTAGGACTTGTTAGGAAATTGTGCATCTGTCAGTATAGGAACTGAAGATTGTGTGGCTCTATTCTTCTATTTAATATAATAATTATCTAATAAACAAAACAATGACATCATTAGTTTCAAAATTATCAGGGAGTAGATTTATCAGGAATCTTGTTGCTGAGATTAACACTGGTCAGAAACTACATAAGCAAGTCTACTTGAGACCCAGTATGTGAGGCAAGTGTGACACAGATTTCTTTGAGTGGCTATATTTTCTGGTTTTTCACTTACTCTGGCTGTTTATCTGTTTGACCTTCTGCCCCCTTACACACCTCATCATCAGCCTCAAATCAACTCAGATCCTAATTGGTGGGGTATAACCTTCCTATAATTGTTAGTTACATCAGCCTCATAGCTCCAGTGCTAAAACGAAAGAAGCAAACTTTAGACACCAAACATCTTGGCTGATGCACTGCATTTGGATTGAGAGGAGGAATTAGATTTTGTAGAGCTATTTCTTTAACTATATTGCTTCACAGCTCAATGTCATTACCAGAGCTGGGGTTATTTCTCCACCTACTGCAGATCAAATCAGGTAACCGGTCCCCAAAAAAAAGCCCCAAAATATAAGCCAGCCACTCACCTCCACAAGCAATTCTGATTTATTTTTTTGAGAAAAAGGTTCAAGTGAATCTCATAAATGATTCATTGAAGGGAAAAAGAAAAGCTCAGGATATAAACAGACCATCAGCTCTTTCCCTTAAAGAGTAAAGCAGCCCAATCACGATAAGTCAAATACAGCCTGAAGCGGTCTGGATAAACATTTCCTTATTTTCGGTGGTATTGACTTGAATCCTCTTGTGTCCCCAGGCGATGGTGCAGTACAACCGGCTTGAGCTCCTCACCCATCCGGTGTGTCAGAAATACTTAGAGATGAAATGGTACGCTGACTGTTATTTTTAATATAGAACATAATGATAGAATTTTCCTAGTAAATAAAATTCACTTTGAAGCAGTGATGAGTAGTAACTACATCCATGTACTCACTTATATTCTTGAAGATGAAAGTGCCAAAAGGAGTTGAAGAACCACTTTCAGTTTCCCAGCTGTTCTTTGGAGCAATGCCACACTTTTGGTTCACCGGGGATTCTTTGGAATAATGTCACTGCATAACCACAGTTTCCCAAAGAATCTTTCAATGGATTGCTTTTTTAAAAAAACTCTGTATTATTCACAGAACTCATAAAAGTTCTTAAGAGAACCGAAAGCCGTTCTTCCATGGCACTGTTCAAAAGAACCTTTTTGGCACCTTTATGTTTAAGATTTTCAAATGTAAAAAAAAAAAAAAACATTTTTAAATGCTAATATTATATTATTCGACTCAAGCATATTAAAGTAAAGTACTCCTCTTCCTCCTCTGTTCCATTTTGGTCATTAACACATAGTTTATAATTCTCTTTTTGGGGATTAATTTGATTTTGTTGTGTTGGTTCAGCTCCTTCAAGAGATAAAGAATCTAAGAGTCTAGCAAACCTTTGAATTGTCCATTCCACCTTAAATGGTGCAGCTGTTACATTCTTCTTCAGTTACATTCTTGTCTCAGGTGCAGCTGAACCATTTAAGGTGGAACAGAAAATTTGAGGAAGAAGCCAGTTTCAGCCTTGTAGTTTTCATGCTGATAAATGCAGGACGGACTAAGAAGTTCCACTGCAGTTCTATCAGCTCCTCAGCACAGTTGATTACCACAGACAGTAATGTCAACACATATGAACTTGAAAGATACTTATTATTGAAGCCATTGAACAGAAGCTGGATTTTGGGAATAAACATTTGAAATGTGTAACTATATAACACTATGATACTATAATTCTATGAAGATATTAAATAAGCTGCAAAACAGTCTGAGCCTTTTGAATTCATTGTTTTTGTGACATCATGAAAACCAAATCGTTTACATATATACACCTATTCAGCCTATGACAGTTTAGCTCCGCCCACTCACACTTAAGTTATAAGGAGTGTTTCAGCCTGGATTGCTTATTGACTGAGACACAAGCCAATCTGAACAGAGCTCATTTACATATGGCAGTCTTAAAGGCACAGTAACAGAAACAGCCAGCCTAATTCTAAAGAACAAAGAGAGGTTGGAAAATGCTCTTGAAATGAGCCATGATTGTTTTTTTAATAAACACACCCATACAAACATCATAAGTGACCTAAAAAAGGTAGGAGCCCTTCAAAGGGGGTTTTTAGTCAGCGTATTTTCTGCTGCTTTCTAAAAACAGGAAAACGTTAAAATTGTTGTCAGTAGTAATCAATACACAACAGCTACAGCATATAGAGATTAGGCTGAAGTATTCCTTTAGCTCCACACTCATTCACAGTTCTGGTTGTGTTTTCTCCTCTGCAGGACAGCATATGGCAGTAAAGTTCATTTACTCAATCTGGCTGTTTACCTGCTTGGCCTTCTGCCCCTGACGTACCTCATCATCAGCCTCAAACCCACTCAGAGCAGCTCCGCTAACAGCACATTCGTCACCATGGAGCCCGTATCCTTCAGAACGGTACTGACACAGAATATGTACTGCGCTCTCTCTGGGTTCAGAGAGGAAGGAAAAAAGGAAAAATCATACATTATTCAGGTACTAAAGAGTCAGAGTGTTTGAGGCAGTGTGGATGCTGACTTGCACAGTTTTGGCTGAGAAATAACAGCCTGTGATGCTTATTGATAAAAAATGAATGGAGGAATGGAAGTTGTTGCAGTTATTGTGGAGTTTAACTTTGAATGAAACTTTTTAATAAATATGAAATCACATACGTTCCACCCAGTTTGGATTTCAGGAGCTGAACTGAAAGGCTTTACATCTTAGATTAACTACCAACATAATTAGGAACTGACAGACAGAGTCAACCAGTCACACTTTGATTTACAATGTGTCCAAAAATCATCACTCTAGTCCTTCTGGTGGTTCTAGTTGTCACTGATTGTCAGTATGAGCTATAGTCTAACCAGGATTCAGTCAGCTGTGGAACAGGAAAACAGCAGCAGCAGTTTGATACCAGGACTCTTTACTGAAAGAGTAACTGTAAAACAGATATATACAAGCTCAAATACATGCTACAAGCTTTCATATAAAACATAAGAAAGCTTTGAATGTCTGTGTTTTATCTGCAATGGCCAAACACAGTTCATGTGAATCGCTGTTAGCTTAGCACTAACATACTCCTAGAATCCCATAGGGGTGCTGGCAGAAATTAGCATAGAGGTTTATTATCACAGAGGTGTTTTTTCCCTAGATTTTTAACGTTTATGGCCCAAACTGAAGGCTTAATAGTCATAGTTCTCCCCTGGCAAATACACGATGGCCATTAAAACTGTCCAAAAACAGAATTAAAAAAATTAAGATTGTAAACTGTTATAAAACTTTAGGTAATTATCGTGACAATTCGTATATCGGCACATGCCTAGTCAGCACTTACTTCAGTAAGATAACAGTTTAGATATGTATGCACACACCCATAAAATGTTGTTTCTGGGGCACTGTGTACACTTCCTGGCCATTTTATCAGAAACCCCTTGCTTGTAGCTCCACCTTGCTGGTGTATTTTTAGAGCCTATCTGTTGCAGAGTTTGTGTTATCCATCCTCTAGTCCTCCATCAATGGTCAGTTTCTGACCACAGAGCCATTCATTGCTGGACATTTTTGCATGCTATATATGTGTACAGTCTGTAACTGTACACATATATAATGAAGCTGTAAGGTAGGCATTTCTGATCAACTGGACACTTATATGGGTCAAGGACAAAATCAGAATTTTTAAAACCTCTTATTGAAAAGGACATGATGTGCATTTTCTATTTGCAAATATGTTTACATCTATATCTATGTGCATTTTATCTTCTTACATATAGTTAGTGTTTTTAACTGCCTATTTCACTTATTAAAACTGTACTGTTCTGGTTGCACCATTTGACTTACTGATTGTGCCACGTGCCTTTTCAGACTAAATTCAAATTAAAAGTACCTACTTAGACACCCAGAGAAACTTTTGTCCTTGAATTTGAGTTTATACATATAGTTTTTCAAATAAATAAATATTACTATAATAACTACACATTTTCATGTTTTCCTGAGTTCAGACCATCTGACATGATACAGTGAACCATTCTAACCACAACTCAAAAATTACATTTTTGGCAAAATTAAAGTCTTTTGTTTATGGTTGTGCCTCCTGATATTTGAGGAACTAAGAACTTGAGGGCAAAAGTTTTTTGTGAGTTGAGTACTTTTAAAGATTTGTAACTTGGTTTTTATTTTAAAGTTTTCAAACTTTAACGTTTTTACAACTATTTTATTTAGAATTTTATTCAAAATAAAGCTTAACTAAATGACCTTTTTTGATAGGTCATTTAAGCAACAAATATGGTTGGATATTTGCACCACCTGAAATTTTTAGACTTTTGGAGGCAAAAAGAAATTAAAAGTAATTTTATATGGATGCACTGAAATTAGTTTTTGGGAAAATAATGGACTTGTCATGGCATGTCATGTTGATGACCCATATATTGTAAAGCAGTATACAAATGACATTGCATACATACATTTTTCTATAATGTACAGTACTGTGCAAAAGTCAAAACACAACTTTCATTTATTTAATTCCTTATAAAAATGGCCATTTCTGACAAGATTAGATATAAGATAATCCACTTGCATAAGGAAGCAGAAAGTCAAAGTGGAGTTTCCGAAACTGGAGTTCGAAAATGATTAAAAAGCTCCAGAGAAAATGGGACTCCTAACAACCACCTGCAAGACCTGGTAGACCAGCAAAACTGTCCCCATCAGATAAACAGCACTTAAAGCGTTTATCTTTGAGATAGAGGAGAAAATCACTCCAATTTTGCTTCAGATCTGAACAAATCAGTTTCTGTCCATCCTTAGAAGGACAGAGGAACGAATCCTGAGAAGACAACTCAGAGCTGTGGGTCTGAAAGGTTGTGAAGCTGTCAAGATGCCCTTACTGAGAAAAGGAAACAGACATAAAATTACTTTTGCTCTAGAACGTTGAAACTGGGCCCAGTCTCCTAAAAGTCTCTTACTGTCTAGATCATCTGAACTGGTAGAGAGAGAGTGTTCAGTGTGAAGAACCATTTTTGTGCCAAGATACCCAGCCCTGGACATCTGAGACATGGAGTAAGGTTTTATGGAGGGTATTTGGGATGACTTGGATTGTGAGAGGCAGAATATTCATCCAACCTCTAAGACTGAACTGAACAGAGATGTAGAAAAATGTCCCTGCAGATTTATTTGAAAAACTGAAAGCGAGTCTCCTGAAAAGAATGAAAGCTGTTATAAAGGCAAAGAGTGGACAGTGTGGATACTGGAAATTCTGATATTATATTTAGTTTTTAAGGTTTCTGTGTAATGAGTAAAAGGGTGATCTCAGTCTTTTGCACAGTTCTGTGTGTGGCGAATACAGTAAGGAGTAAACGTAGATGTTGCTAAAGGTGTTCTGGTGATGTCTCCTCTTCAACATTAACCTTCTCGTGTTTCTCATTAGCCACACCTGACAGCTCAGAATGGCCCATAATTCATGTGGCCTTGTTGGCCTGATGTGTTTTGCTTTGACAAGCTCTTTTTACGTGCTATTATTCATAATGCTCTCCATCATCACTACATATAGGTTCCCTTGATAATGACCTTGTCCTTGTCCGAATACTTCATTTGGTCACTTTCATTATGATCCATCACCTTTCACTCTCAAGGGTACAGTGTCCATGCCTCTGGGCGAACTTGTTTTCTTGTATAGAATTTTTGTTATTTATCCTAATGTAACTCTAAGATCACGTATAAGACTATGTTATTACATATATTATGATATTACTTATGAATACTTATACTTATACTTATGATTACTGATGAAAATTATGTTAAGCATGCAAATACACCTATCAGGGCAACTTGTTTTCTTTTGTGTTTCGTGTTATCTTATTTACTTCAGCCACATATGCATCAAAGTATCTACCTTGGTATGAAGAGCAGATTTTGTCTAAATAATGACTTGACAGTTTTCTTTTCCAAACCACTGTTAAAAGCACATATATGAAACTCTTTTGGTCCAAAAGTTTTTTTATTTAAAAATAAAACTGGTAAATGTGAATCTTTCAACTTCACTTTAAAAGAAATCAAAGAAATCTTTAAAAAATGTGTTATTTTCACAAGTTGAAATGTAAGGGTTAAAGTTTGGGAGTTTGATAGAAAGTACCCCATAATTGATGATTTTGTATATATTTAGGTTATTATTACTATTTCAGTTAGTGCATTGGGTTTAGATAGATCATAACATAATGCTTTTAAACCTGTAAGGTCTGAATTCTTAATTGCTTTTTTTATAGCGTTTTTTTTTTTACTGTGGCACCACAGTGTGAAGTATTTTGGTAGAATGGTCCATATACAGTTGGTGCAAAATCTCATTGTCATAAAAAGATAAAAATCTCTCTCTTTCTCTTTGTGTTTCTCTCCCTCAGCAAAACTACATGGTCTCAGTCTGCATGGTCATGGTCCTTGTCATGAACGTGTATGCCATTTGTAAAGAGGTGGTGCAGATGGCTCAGCAGGTAACGGCCGTGTCATCACTCCCTACTGCTGCCCTTGGCTATAAATTCTCCTCTGTGCTAAAAGAGTCCTTCAGTCCAGAGCTCTGTGGAGGATGACTAAGCCATCATCATCATCATGCGCTGTACAATATACACAGCCTGATTTACACTGAAGTGCACTGAGCGCCGTATCAGGGAACACCAATCTGAGTTACTCAGGAGAGGAAATAATAATGTGTTTTTGACTGATGGGAATTCAGAGGCACTTTATACACAGAGCAAACATTATCAGTCCAGCACAGCACAGAACACTGTCCCTGGAATTTTGTTGTTATGTCTCTTGATAAAGTAGTACAGAATATCTCTTGTGAATCATCAGGTCAACCACAGCTTTGTCTCTGAGAGGGCAGAAATGAAAGTATTTTCTGATAATAATCACTCATACAAAATTATATCTTTTCTGATTATTACACAAAAGCCTTTCCAGAGCAATGGATGCTGTTATAGCCACAAAACGGGGCCCAACTCCATATGAATGCCTATGGTTTTTAATGTCCAACAAGCTCATATGATGTGATGGCTGAATGTGCACATAGTTTTGGCCATATAGTGTAGGGGTCAACAAACGGCTTGCAAACTGTATCAATTAATTGACAAATTTCTAATGTTAAAATCATTATCAACAACAGCTATTATCCAGTTTTGATTTTCTTTACTGTGATATACACCGATCAGGCATAACATTATGACCACCTCCTTGTTTCTATGCTCATTGTCCATTTTATCAGCTCCACTTACTATATAGGTGCACTTTGTAGTTCTACAATTACAGTACTGTAATTACACACACCACTGACATGGTGCTGGTGTATTAGTGTGTGTTGTGCTGGTACGAGTGCATCAGACACAGCACTAGGTCCCAACAGGCCCCTTAGTTACATCCCTGCTGTACACACAACAATAACTTTTAATCAAATTCAAACCATAGTAAAATATCTCCTCTTCTGCTTATCAACACTAATGTGGTGTGATTGAATGTTTACTATCTGCACTTTCCACACAATTTCTCCTCTTGTTTCCATGAACTGAAATAATTCTAATGAAATTACAGCATGCTTTTGTTAGGGTGACAACCATGACTTCTAAGGTTTGTGTTTTCTTTTTGCCTCCTAAAGCGTTTTAGTTACTTCCTGGACTCCTCTAACCCATCAGACTGGGCGACAGCAGTCTCCTCTCTGGTCTTTGTCGTCCCCATGTTCTGCAGCGCTGAGAGTAAATGGCATTGGGAGGCTGGAGCTTTGGCCATTCTGTTTGCCTGGATCAACTTTCTACTGTATTTCCAGAGGTACAGTGATATTCCTCAAGGAAATTACAGCAAGTACAGCAGACACATACAAAGTACCTGCCTACAAATGTGCTCCTTCTTAGCAACTGTTTTAAAGTTGGACAAGCTTTACAGAACGCTAGTAAAAATCCCATTCAACCTAATGAGAAATTTTAGAACACGACTGAATTTATTTCACTATACCTACACTTTAGAGTGAGTTATTCATTCAACCTAATGAGAAATTTTAGAACACGGCTCAGTCTATTTCATAATACCTACATTTAGAGTGAGTTATTCATTCAACCTAATGAGAAACTGTAGAACACGACTCAGTTTATTTCATAATACCTACATTTAGAGTGAGTTATTCATTCAACCTAATAAGAAACTGTAGAACACGACTTAGTTTATTTCATAATACCTACATTTAGAATGAGTTATTCATTCAACCTAATGAGAAATTTTAGAGCACAACTGAATTTATTTCACTATACCTACACTTAGAGTGAGTTATTCATTCAACCTAATGAGAAACTGTAGAACACGACTCAGTTTATTTCATAATACCTACATTTAGAGTGAGTTATTCATTCAATCTAATGAGAAACTGTAGAACACGACTCAGTTTATATCACAATACCTACATTTAGAGCGAGTTATTCATTCAACCTAATGAGAAACTGTAAATGTAAATACTGGACTTCCTCGAGGAGAGATGTGGAAATGCTTAATCTAACATACGTACAGATCAGTGACAGTGGCTTGTTTATTTGTTTATAACATTAGTGTTTTTTTGAACAAATAAATGTTAATTGCCCAGATAATTGGCTTTTGTGTAGTATTTTCTCAGAAGACTGTTGCACAGTGCTATGTAACATAAAGTGCAACAAAAATGAATAATAGAAACATATGTATATGATATAGAATGTGCGATGCTCCACAGGTTCACGTAGATAAGTAATATCAAATAAATAATAATTGTGTGAATAATATGGATGTAACAGAGTGATTTTTGATGTGATCTGTTCTGACAGGTTTGAACGTTTCGGTATTTACGTGGTGATGTTTGGAGAAATTATAAAAACACTGATCAGCATCATCGTCCTCTTCGTCTTCCTCCTGCTGGCATTCAGTTTGTCCTTCCATGCTCTGATGCTTCATCGAGTAAGTCCTGATACAGAGATTAACATTAATGCACTAGGGCTGAGTCTCTTTCAGAATCTTTTGATATTGATAGCTGGATTGTTGGCATCATTCTGTAGTTGGCGTCATGCCCATATAAGGAACTCTGGGTCTATGCCAGTTTTCTCAGTTGGAAAAATGAATGGCGACTTGTTTAAACTGCTTTTGACTTTAATGAAAAAGTTCTTTTTGCTGGAAGACAGCTGTTCCTTCATCTTGGTTGTTGCCAGGCCAACAGCAGACACAGCCATGATTGGTCACTTAGTTCACATCGAACAGAAGGAGAATAAAATAATGTCGCATTTTTGTCATTTGAAAAAATGTGTTTAGTGTGCGAGGAAGTTTCAGTTATACATGATTGCACCACATGAATGACCTCATAAGTCAAATTTATTTCAATAATTTAGTCATTCGTACATATTCAAGCGCTATTTGTTCATACCATCTTTACATCTGCAGTGGATTATCCCGACTGTTTAAGTCACTTCGGCCTTTGTGGTCTGAGGCCCCCAAGACCCCTGACTGTTCGAGGCCTCTAGGCACTGGCCCCAGTGGCCTGGTCTGTAATCCATCCCTGCACAAATTTAAGTCATCTCCACAGCTCAGTGCACTGAAAAAAAAGTGCTGCATTGAATGCACTTGATTAATTTATACAAGAGTAAAATATATTAGCATGAAATATATTTGTTCACATGGAGCAGATATACATATCTGAATCAAACACATTGAAATTGTGCTTTTGTTTGTTTGTAATGATGTTTTTTGTTTGTTTTTATCCTCAGGTGGAGTTTAATTCTATCAGCCTGTCTCTGGCTCAGACGTTTGTGATGACGGTGGGAGAACTGAACTATCAGAATTCTCTGCTGGAGGCGTATGAGCAGGACCTGCTGGCCTTTCCTGAAATCACCTATGTCGTCTTTGTGCTCTTCGTTCTTCTCATGCCCATTCTCCTCATGAACTTGATGGTAAAAATAATAATTGACTTAAAGTAGTTTTTTATGTTTACTTTGTAAAGAATCATCTACAAAAACATTTGTCTCAAGTGAGAGTCAGTACTAGTTAGCTGATAGCTGTTTCCTCATAATACTACTACTACTACTAATAATATTAATAATAATAATAATAATAATAATAATAATAATAATAATAAAAATGCAAATAATTTATAGAACCCTTATCCAAGCTGAAGGTTGCTTACAAAATCACTTGTAAAAAGTAAATGATTTGAATAATACAATCCTGCTTCCAAAAAAGTTGGGATGCTGTGCAAAATGTAAATAAAAACAGAATGCAATGATGTGCAAATCATTTTAACCCTATGTTTAATTTGTAATAGTACAAAGACAACATATCAAATGTTGAAACAGAAATTGTATGTGTTTTTTTTTAAATATGTGCCTGTTTTGAATTTGATACCAGCAACATGTTTCAGAAAAGTCAACACATCAAAATTTTACATTCTTTTTTGGAAATCATAGACGCTGCATTCTCCTAGCTAAAGACTACCTGTAAGAAATAGTTTCCTTTGTCCCTGTCTGATCCCACCTTGACCTCTCTCTATCTGCTTGTTCTCCATCTCCGGGAGTGCGCAAGAAGCAAAGACACACACACATGTGCATCAAAGTTCCGAGACATACTCTTTTATTTTGGAACGGAAGGGCCTCTTTATACACTTAGAAGCAGACGTGGCCGGCAGTTGGTCAGTACAGTGATAAACAAGATTTCTATGAATAATATGCAGATGAGATGTGAAAGAAACAGGAAACCACAGCTGAACAAGACGTGGCTGCCAAGAAATGTAATTGCAGGTCAAGATGTTCTGTCCTGACACACAGACATATGATGATTAATTTAATGAACTTGGTGTGCTTGCTTAACAGCTTTGTACAAAAAGACTCCCCTTTTAGGAAAATCCACTGAATTTCCTTGCCTTCCCCTCTTTTATTCCCTAGGAACAACACTCTTAAAAGGGCTCACCACCTATGTAATGCAAGAACAGGAAAATATTTCACTTTCAAAGCTACAGCAATTGCTCTCCTCAGTTCCCAAATGTGTACAGTGTGTTGTTAAAGGTAAAGGTGATGCAACACAGTGGTAAACATGCCCTCCCAACTTTTTTTGTAATGAGTTGCTGGCATCAAATTCAAAATGGGTACATATTTTTGAAAAAAAAACCAATCAAATTTCTCAGTTTCAACACTGATATGTTGTCTTTGTACTATTTTCAATGAAATATCAGGTATACATTATTTGCATATCATTACACTCTATTTCTATTTACATTTTGCACAGCTTTTTTTGGAAACAGGGTTATTGCAAAATACAACGATAGTCCCTGTTCACTGTAAATCTGCTTGTTAGCAGTGTTAGTGGTGTGTGGTTAAGTTGGGCTTATTTGTTTTAATTTGTCTGTGTTAGATTGGTTTGGCTGTTGGAGATATTGCAGAAGTTCAGAGGAACGCCACGCTGAAGAGGATCGCCATGCAGGTGGGACACTAACGAAAGTTAATTTAATGTTTGTGCTTTGCAAAAGCAACAGTAGCAAAACCGCTTATTTAAGCCACATTCTCATTAAGCTTGATCCTGTATGCTAGCACTTTCTAACAGTTCTGTCATTGTCACACAGATTAATCTTCATACTAACCTGGAAGAGAAACTGCCATATTGGTTCATGAAGAGAGTGGACAAACCCAGCGTTACCGTCTACCCCAACAGGAAGTGCGCCAAGATTTATGTCAGTACCATTCATTATGTTTAAAAGTTTTTCTTGACAAAAGCTACTTAGATCAACAGTAATTCAGCATTTATTCTACACTAGAAATATCCTTTGAAAAAGGAACAGCACCATAAAACTAAGATATCCGTAGGACTGTATATATTGTACAGGGTTTCTCATCCCTGGTCCTGCCCTGCACTTTTTAGTGCTTTTCCTGCTTTAACACACCCACTCCAACTCAATAATGGGCTGTTAATGAGCTGATTAGTTGGATCAGGTGTGTTGGGAGCAGAGAAAACACTAAAAAGTGCAGGGCAGTGAGCCGCCAGGGGCTATACAGTACAAAATACAGTACTATAGATATCTTAGTTTTGTGTTACTGTTCTTTTTTCAAAGAAATATAATCAGTGATTTAAACCTTAAACTGCATTCTTATTATCTGAAGACCTGTTATTTAGTATATTCTATTAATTATTCAGTACCTACTATAAATTATTCAGTATCTAATATGAATTATCTGGTATCCACTAAGAATGATTTAGTGTCTACTGTGAATTATTCAGTATATACTATGAAATATTCTGTATATAAGAATAAATATGAATTATTGCAATTTTGAGATACGCTCGACAAATAAGCTGAAATGAACCATATTTTGAGCAGATGTCAGTTTGTGTCCAGGAGTAAATAATACATACATACATACATCATCTAAACCGCTTATGGAGTAAATAATAGCTACGTTATTTATTATTAGGTTCTTATTAAATGTCTATAAATATTGCTGTCCTCCTATAAAACACTTAAAAATGATTAGTGGATGTTTAATCCTGTCATTCAGGGGATGATTCAGCAGTTCTGGAATTTCGGAGGAGAACCTGAAGTCCGAGTTCGTCTGAACACAAACTCTCGCCGGACCTGCCCGCTGGAGAGAGAGATAATGAAGCAGAAAAACAAGTGAGGCTTACAAACTCCTTTAATACCAGTATATAAATCCTTATAGAACCACAAAATATATTCTGTGTCCTGTTACTGAAGCACTTCCTATATGTAAGTACAATGGTTTGGACGGTGCTCTGTGGTGTTAACAGCATTGTGTTAGAGCACCATCTAGTGCTGAATGAGAGAATTACACAGGAAAGTTACTCACATGTTTAACAATTTTATACATTTTTTGTACATGTAGACCAGGCGTGCCCTAATTTTCTGGTTCTTCAAGGGTTCTTTAGTAAAGACAAAGGTTCTGTATGGAACCATGAGTACTCAAAGAACCCTTTACATGATTTAAAGGTTCTTTGCATTGTGAAAGGTTTCTTCAGATTGATGTAGAATGTGTTGTACATGGTTCTATATAGCACCAAAAAGAGTTTAGCTATTGTTACGATGTCAAGCTTGTAACAATAGATGAACCATTTTTGGTGCTACATAGATATACAACACATTCTCCATCAGTCTGAAGAGCTCATTCAGGATGCAAATAACCCTTTAATCATGCAAAGGGTTTTTTGAGTGCTCATAATTTTATACAGAACCATTTTCTTTACTAAAGAACCCATGTCACTTTTTTACTTTTACCAGAAGTACTTTAAAAATAAACATTTAACGAAGACAAAGCCTGGGGCACTCCTGCTAAACATACACACAAATTCAATTGTATTTTGGTTGTAAGCTGTCAATAATGTACAATTATTCATATTAAACTAAGGGTGTAACGATATGATACCATGGCGTTTTGATATGATCAATTTTTATATGTTAATGTTTGCAGTTGGTTTTAGTGAAAGGCGGTAAACGAGAGACGCTCTGAGGAGAGTGAGGGTCGAATCAGACATACAGTAGTACATCTGCATTCTCTGTTTACATTTACATTCACTGCTTAAAATCATTACACATTTTATTAGTATCAGAACACATTTATATAAATCTGGCTACAATTTAGATTTTATTTCTGTTTTGGATTTTATTTCTCTTAACATTGTCCACCTTGGGCACCACTGATGTAGAAACTTCTTTCATTTGTTCTTGGTACATTCAAGCTGAATAAGCAGGGAATGTTTCCACTCATTACTGTTCACAGTTTGCTTGAGGCTGTTTCTGTGTTTCTCATTAATGCAGTGTGGAGTGTGTAGGAAGTGTGTATAATTACAGTATTGATTGTATCATTTTGTGTGTAAAGGATAAAGGAGATTTCCTCAGTGCTGAAGAAACTGTCATTATATATTTCTAATGAAGGTGTGGGACAGTAGCAGGGACGTGGGTACTGGAGGGGCTGAGTGGGCTGCAGCATACCCAGACTTCAGTGTACTTTAACTGCAGCTGGTTAACTGTGAGCTGCTGTACCTTTACCATGTTTAAGTTAATGTTAGATTTTTATTAATATAGTGATATAGTGGTGTTCTACAGTTTGTCATTAGGTTGAATGAATAACTCACTCTAAATGTAGGTGTTGTGATATAAACTGAGTCGTGTTCTACAGTTTCTCATTAGGTTGAATGAATAACTCACTCTAAATGTAGGTATTGTGATATAAGCTGAGTCTGTTCTACAGTTTCTCATTAGGTTGAATGAATAACTCACTCTAAATGTAGGTATTGTGATATAAACTGAGTCGTGTTCTACAGTTTCTCATTAGATTGATTGGGTTTTTACCAGCGTTCTGTAAGACTTGTCAAATCTCACAACAGTAGGCATGAAAGACATGTTTGTGGGTAGAGCCTGGGTCAGTTACAGTATGATGTTGTTGTTTTGTGTTCTGTGAAGGTTGAAGGAGATTCACTCTGTGCTGGAGAAACAGCATAGCCTGCTGAAGCTCATCATCCAGAAGATGGAGATAACCTCAGAGGCTGATGACCACGACGGCCCTCAGGACTTTAGAGCCATCACCTCCGCTATCCCATCATGCACTGCCAGAAGGTCAAGATGGGTCCCACTGATCCGTGCACTAGGGGTCAAGAAGTGAAACCAGAAACAAAGCATTGCTGTCTGTAGTAGGCATATGAAATTGTCTTAAAGCCATAGATCAGTGAAAAATCAAATGTACATTTGTAGCCCTCTACTCCAAATCAGCCAAGACAGGGTGCCTGAAATTAGCTTATTTCATTCTCCATAATGCTCATTAGCACACCTATGGGATTTCTAATAGTCCTGTGCACATGAACATTTTTGTCCATCCTAGATTAAACACAGAAGACTACCTGACTACCCAGAATTTGACATTTGAACAATATAAACAAATTCATTCAAAGTGGTTTGGTGTGAAATGTTCCATTTTAGAGGAACATACCGAGACAGAATTGATCACAGTGGTGGTGATAGGAACCAGACGTCCACCTCTAAAACTCCTTCACAGAAAGTGAAGTTGTAAATATGCTACCTGAGGCCTGAGACATTGTTTTATGAAAGTTCTGAGATAAGACATGAATAAAATGTCAAAAATTACTAATGGCAGAGGAACATCCAACAGGTTGTATGTATCTGTTTTACAGTGACTTAATGAAGCATCTAGAACTTCCAGAAGGCCTAGATTGATGTTCTTCGGTTCCACCCATTGTAAAGCAAAGTGCGGTTGATTTCTTTGTCACTTACTAATTATGTCAGTAGTAACTCTAACAGGAAATGCCTTCAGTCTAAGTCCTGAAGTCCTTGTTTGTCTGTATTCACTTAGATACTATGGGGAAAACAATCCTGATCGGATAATTTTCAGTTGCACAATTTTAACTAATTTGTTTCCAACCAAAATGTAACAATGAAATAAGAGTATTTCTACAGCACTTAAAACAGGGTTCATATACAGTAAACATGATTCTATTAAAGGATAATGAAATAAAAGTTAGAATTTTTTGCTGAATTACTGCTTCAAATATGACAAGACCCACAAACATTCAGTGCGGTAGAAGATTTTTGTTAAATGGCTGTAAGATGAATATACAATCTGTGTAACTGGTTCCAGAGTTCTTGTTGATATTTAAAGTCTTTTAGTTCTTGTTGATATTTAAAGAGTCAGTCTTATCATCTGCTGTTTTTTTCTATACTAATGATATATGTAAACATTGCTTGAGGATTTTTAAATATGTCTATGACCCTCCATGATAAACTCAGTTAGTCCATCTCATTTATTGTTTGCAGCTAGTTTATTTTTCAAAACCTCCATTTGAAGGTTAAAGTAAAAAAACATAGTCTGAGACTTGCTTCTTTAATGCTCTTTATTAATCACTGTGTACTGCAGTGTTTCCCAGTGTTGGTCCTCGAGCCACCAGAATCGGGTGTTTTGGGAGCAGAAAAAACCCTGAAATGTGAATGACAGTGTGTCTCCAGGACCAATGTTGGGAAATATTGTATTATTATTATTGATCATTCCATGTAGGCATTTGCAATGTACCTCAATATGCCAACTATAAAGTGATTTATTCACTACTTATTGTCCACCAGTCTTTGTTTTATACATTTATGGTTTAAATTTATACTGTTCCATTGCAGAACTGGCTATCCACGCACAGGCATAGAAAATGGTGGTTTCGTTTTTAGATATAAAGCATCTGGCTTGTAATAACTCACTTATGTTTAACAGGCTGAAGACTCTCCACTTGGGGGAGCTATAAGCACTCAAGTAGCTTCTGTGTACATCACTAAAAGGAATGAAACTGGCATAAATCCACAACAGAACTCACAAATTAAAATATTTCTCATACTGTCAACAGTGATAAAGAACCACTTCACTACTTGAAACTTTCTTTCGATCCGTCAACATTCTAACAATCTAACACTGACCATAAAGTTTGCGGTTTTGAGAAGGTAAATACATCATGAACATTAAAGTTATTACTAATATAATAACAGACTGACTAGCTTGTTGGTAACATTTACTTTCATGGAGGTAATAAAGGGTTATGAAAACAAACATGAGTTTAGTGAAGCTAACATTTCTAACCAGCTGCGTTAACTAGCCAGCTAATGCTAACGGCTGTTTAAACTGTAGCTTGTTTCACCTTTTATTATTCTTTAGCTGCTGTTATTGTGATATATGTGTTGAGATTTTTTGTCCTCTTGACGCTCCCTAATTTTAAACAGTGCTTAGAATCATTTAGATTCAAGTTTATTACAGCAGAGGAGATAGATGTGCTCCTGGAGGAGCTTCTAGGACACAGTAAGTGAAACATCAGTTAAGTTATAACTGTAGCTGCTACTTAAGCATTAACTTTCAAACATTAAACAAAAATTCAAATATATAGTAAAGAATGCTAGACAGATAGATAAGACAGATATACAAATGGGAAGAATATACAAAGATGATAAAATTGCTGCAGATATGATGCACACACTTGACAGTCCCATGCAGAAGGCCTTGCAATGCGATGCAATGCACAGGGCACTGCTGAATTTGTATGTTCAGGATGTCACTGAATTACACAGATCTTAAGTTGAGGATATTTGAAAGGGTTGATGCACTAGAAAGTCTTTACAGGCTGATTCAGATGTTTTAAAGCATGTTACAGGAAGCACTAGAGATACCAGTTTATCACTCCATCAGTCAGAGTGAAAGAATTCCCTCTGGCTGCAGGCCCAGACCTCATAACCTTACACAGCTTTATAACAGCAAACGTAAAATTCACCTCGGCTGCAGTGAGCACGACACAAATTTATGTCACGCTAAGCATAATTCACCACTCTGTTAGTAACACAGTGATATAGTTCTCATGAAGCAGACGTTAGACTGAATCGACTCGCAGATCAGGCTGTAAATGCTGATTTCACAGATTAAATAAAAGCTCCTTCATCTGCACCTGCACTGAACAATGGCTGTAAAAACGGTCTTGTGAATTTGCCTGTGCATGATGAGATGTGACAAATTTGATTAGGTGGATCACACAGTCATATGTGACGGATTTGCTGATACTAGCGTAAAACAAAACTATGATTTCTATTATTATAGACGAATACAGGAACCATAGAGCATCTTAAAAGGCCCATATCTTGGTATCATGGCTAACCAATCAGCACTTAGTGGCAGTAATGCCAACTAATCAGCACTTAGTAGGAATAAAGCCAACCAATCAGCACTTAGTAGCAGAAACGCCAACCAATCAGCACTTAGTAGCAGTAACGCCAACTAATCAGAACTTAGTAACACTAATGCTAAACAATCAGCACTCAGTAGAAGTAATGCCAGCTAATCAGCACTCAGTAGCAGTAACACCAACCAATCAGCACTTAGTAGCAGTAACGCCAATCTGCCAGCACTCACTAGCAATAATGCTGAACAATCAGCACTTAGTAGCAGTAAAGCCAACCAGTCAGCACTCAGTAGCAGTGATGCCAAACAGTCAGCACTCAGTAGCAGTAATGCCAACCAATGAGCACTCAATAGCAGTAACCCCAACCAATTAGCTCTCAACAGCAGTAACGCCAACCAATCAGCACTCAGTAGCAGTAACGCCAACCAGTTAACACTCAGTAGTAGTAATGCCAACCAATCAGCACTCAGCAGCAGTAATGCTAACCAATCAGCACTCAGCAGCAGTAATGCTAACCAATCAGCACTTAGTAAAAGTAATGCCAACTGATTAGCACTCTGTAGCAGTAACACCATCCAATCAGCACTTAGTAGAAGTAACGCCAATCAGTCAGCACTTAGTAGCAGTAATGCAGGTAGGACGATTCTAAGGGCCTGTGACTCACAGGAGCCCTAAACAATACTAGAACTTTAGGTATTTTTTTCAATATTAAATCATTATTGGTAGCATATTTTATTTGAACTGTACTTATTAAACTAACGGTTTCTTTTTCTTGCTTTTAGCAATAGTAAACATCTAGAGAGCATCTGTATTGCCCCCTCCCCCTCTATTTCCATGAAATGTCCTGCCCCCAAACCAGGTGCAAACGGTTCTTGTTGGCAGTGCGAGTGAGGAGTGTGGGTTGCGTGTCATGTCTCAGCTTCCTAAAGAAAAATCTGGCTTCCAAAAATGAAAATAAAGGAGAGAGAAAAGAAAAGGCGATATCCGCTTCTTCTCAAAGAAAGGTGGGTGTAGTCTGTGAGGGGTGGAAATTAGCCTGTTAGCCTCATCAATAACGAAAGGCTAATTTTCTCCTCTAACATTAATCACTTAACATCTTAATAGAAAATTCTAAGTGTTTACATTTCGCTCCTCTTGTAGCCAACATTTAATCAATGCAGGCCAACTCTTAGCAAGCTATTCATACTAAACCAGTTGTCCCTGCCGCTGCCTGCTGCTAGACCCTACAGATGCAGCTTCAGACTCACCAGCCCTGTCTCCCCATCAATCTCCCATAGCTCTACTAAAGAACCAGCCCTACTCCCAGCTGAAGGAGGAGGTGAGCAGCTTTGTGTTGAATGACATATCAGCTAATGTAATTACAGGGAGTCTGTAATTACATTACAGACTCCCTGTAATTACGTTGCTGATGCCACCACATTGCCCTAGCCTGCGGTGGTGGGGCCCAATTTTTCTATGGGGTCCAAAATCCCTGGCAGCCCCCCTAGCAGTAATGCCAACCAATCAGCACTCAGTAGCAGTAATGCCAACCAATCAGCACTCACTAGCAGTAATTTTAAGCAATCAGCACACAGTAGAAGTAATTTTAAGCAATCAGGACACAGTAAAGTAATTTTAAGCAATCAGGACACAGTGTCCTGGTGCCCAATATCTGTTTGCTGTAGAAAAACAAGAAGATACTGTTTTAAAGTTTTAAAGAAGTTATTTTGTTTTTGTTTTTAAATAATTATTTTTTTAAGTGGAACACTTTTTTTGGAAAGTTATTAAATACTCATAATTTCATATTTAAATGCCTTTAATTTAGTATATTTCTATCTTTAAAGATCAGTGCTCTTTATGGGGCTAACTGGGGGGCTTTTGTCACTGCTGTGCTGGAGTGTTTTTCTGCTGAACTAAACTGATTCTATATGAGTCATCTATAAACATTCAGAACCACCATTTACCTTCTTCTGTCTTACACAACCACTGTGGGAACAGTAAAGTCTTCACAAGTATATTACAGAGACCTTGAGGAGCACATGCGTGGGCTTCCATTCGCTGCAAAGGCCACTCATCAATCATTCTGATTTTATGGTCTGGCTACTCCGTCCATCTTTCCAAATGTAGCTAAAATGCTTATATAGTGGTTCAGACAGGGTTTGACTGACATTACAGTGCCTGGAAGCAACATTTGCTCTGTTCAGAATGGTTCACTTGTTAACATGTTCACTATCTACTATGTAATATTTGCTCTGGACTGACTGGAGAACGACTGAGGAATTGACCAATAATACTGACAGACTTTGCAGTGCATTATTGATACATTATTGATATTATTATTTAAATAGGTAGCAACACTAAACACAGCTATTCTATTAAATTCTTGGGTTTTTTCATGTCTAGGTTAAAGGTCACACTCCTAAATGCTGAATAAAGGCCACTCACTGAAAATGCCACAGCTTGTGATTTTATTAGAAGGCAATTGATATTAAGAGATAAACTAAAGTGTGCATGGATGGATGGATGACAAGACAGAATGACTGATTGAAAAATACAGTCATGTGCAAAAGTCTCGGCACCCATGATCAAATTCCATGTGGTGTTGATTTTCTAAGTGAAAACGAGGCAAAACAGCCTCCAGAGAACACACTTCTACACATTTTAATGCGCAATTACTGTCATCAGTACTATTATTTTGCCTTAATTCATAACAAAAATGTCAACCTAGCTGGCTCATTCACAGATGACACATTACTAGTACATAGATAGGTAGATAAAAATGATTTATAATGATGTATTATAATGTAATTGTAGTTCTGAATGCTGAATAAAGGTCTGTTCAGTAGTTTAGCCTCTTCACTGTGTATGGCTGAGTTTACTAACAGCCGTTTTTGATGCTATTTTACACCATTTGTTCTACGCTGCAGCTGTGAGATCACGGTGACCATGGGAACCAGGGCTGAACAATGATGTCATACCCTCGCACCTGTTACTCAGAGAGAGAGAAGAGAAGAATAGAAGGACAGAGCAGAGGAGGAGAGAGAGAAAGACAGAGAGACAGAAAGAGTAAGAGGCAAGAGAGAAAGAGGGGAGAGAGAGATAGAGAGAAAGAAGGAAAGTAGGAGAGAGTAGGGTGGATGAGAGAGAGAGAGAGAGAGAGAGAGAGAGAGCTGCCCACGGAATGACCCTTTAACGTGCTCACTGACAGACGCTGTTGTGTTTCTCATGAAAAGCTTCAGCAGATCTGTTCCCATGTAATTAACAGTTACGTGGAAACTGTGGAATTATCTCCATGTGCTGCTGTTTAATCCCATGATTAGTGCTGAAAATGCTCGTAAAACAAAGTAGATCCACCTGCTGCTCGCTTCTAAAGGCTCGGAGTCCAAACATCTCACACCAAACGACATCTTACACTGCTACCAG